CTAATTACTGAGTTCTTCGTGGAAACGTTTTCTAATTAAACAAGAAAAGGCTTCATTGATCTACCATCAGTGGGGAATATTGTGTTCCACATAAGTGACTTTGGAAAGAAGTTTAAGTATGATTCTTTATGTCTCCAAGTGCTGTTATTAATCTTTCCGGTGGGAATCCTTTAAAAACTGTGTGTTACCTGTGCCCTTGAATTCCCTACACAGTATTACTGCCACAGACCTCTGATGCTCTCTCGAAAGGACAGGATCTGGTAAATAGCACAAATTTACAAATGCAATGAATTTAGCTTGGAATCCAGACTTGCCTCCTTACTGTATGGCAGATATTGGAGATGATTCCTGTGCTCGGAAACCTGAAGTCTCTCATCTCTTGAAAGCAGACTAATATCTAAGTCACAGGCCCACTTTTAGGGTTAATTACAAAAGGGTTTAGCAGGACAGCTGGCAGCTCCAAGAGAATCGTCACCATCCCTTCAGACCCCCAAAGGAGCACTGCTTAAGGGGTCCGGTGAGTTTCCAGGTGCACCCCTAATATGGGATTGTCTGGCATCTAATATGCTTGGGTATCTGTCTGCCTTGAGCAGTTTCTACTTTCAATTGCTGTGATTGGAGAACCAGATATTAAAGAGGTGCACCCAGGATTTTGGAGTAGTATGAAAGTGGTTTTTTGTTTGGGCTGGGAGGGAGTGGGTGGTGGTTGGGGGCCACACCTGGTGGTGCTTAGGGGTTGTTCTGGCTCTACACTCAGGGATCACTCCTGGCGGGGCTTGGGGTGCCCTGAGGTGCTGGGGAATTGAACCCGGGCCAGCTGCATGCAAGGCCAGCGCCTGACCTGATGTAGTAGCTCACCAGCCCATCTTTGTGGTTTTACTGTCTGCCAGGCTGAGCGCACTAACATTAATTAGGGGGTCAGGGGGCAGCTGGGGCCCAGCTGGTGGGAAGTACTAGCAATGCCCTAGCTCCGACCACTGGCAAATGGGAATTGGATGGAAATAAGGGGTTGCAACTTGAAGGTGTCACTCGATTCAGGAGGAGACTGTTCCTCTAGTGATGTGTCAATCATTAGTTCACTCCCTACTCATTGGGCAAACACTGCTCTTGTGTGGAGCCTCCCCCAAACCCAGCTTTATGAGGGGGACAGGCAAGCCATCTCTACCCCCTCCTTAAGACTGGTGGCCTGGGTCCTGCCAGAGGCCAAATGGAAGCACCGTGTTAGTGTGTGCGTGTGTGTGCGTGCGTGTGTGTGTGTGTGTGTATACAGTCCCAGGACCACTTCCTATGCGGGGGTTTCGTAAATGGGCTTTGTCTCCCAAGCTTGGCTCAGGTGTGTTCGCTCACGGGAGCAGAGCTTACGTTGATGTGGACAATACCAGTTCTGTAAGCTGAAGGCCCAGACCCGCTCCACCGGGTCTGGGTGTCCCATGAGGTTCCTCCAGGGTCTGGGATCAGGCCTGGGAGGGCTGGGAGTACCATCTGCACCCCCAGCTCCCCCTGAGCACCTGAGCTCTCTCCCAGTCTCCTTTCCTTTGGGGCTGTTTAAACCAAAGCATCACCCTACATGCATTCAATAAAAACCCCTTCGGGGGGGGGGCAGCCCCACAATCTCCTGACCTGTCCGCCCATCAGCCAGCGAAGAAGGGTGGAGGTGGGAAATGCAGCCTCCAGAACCTTCTGGAAATGCTCCCTGGCTGCTCTGCTCCTCTCAGATCTGAACATTGTCTCTCAGCAAATACAGTCCCCTCAGCAAACAACAGAATCCTGCAGGCCTTTGTGTTCTCAGGTCAGGAAACGAAGCATCCTTTGCTGACAGGTGATCAGAGAGGGGGTCTCTTAGCCCTCTTTCCCGTACCCCAAAGAACGACTCCAGACACGCGCACGAAGCAGGTTTTCAAGCAGGTGCTTGCTTGACCCGGTTAAATTTTTATTCAGTGAAAAAAGTTGACATTGAGACAAAATCATCTTTAAATTGTGCAACAATATAGTAAAATTTTCTGCATAAACCAACGATTTGGAAACGTATCAAGGCAATTGAAACCATAAATACCTAAGGTGGCTTTGGAGGGAAACTAGTATACAGTGTCCACTTTAAGAGCAGAAAAGGCCTTTATGTTGCTGCCAATACTTTTGATTTCGCCTAAAGTTCCTAATAATTTGTAACAAGAGTCTTTAAATGAGAAATGACATGGAATATCCGAGAATAATGTCCCACCTCAGCTTTGGGAGGTGTCCCACGTGAAACTGATACCGTTCTTGGGTTTCTTGGCTCTGGACAGAAACATGTGTGACCTCCCTCAAGCCACGTCCAGTGGGACCCCTCCTGGAAACAGCTTCTTTACCTCTGTAACCCAACCGTATGCCTCTCTTCTATCCATCCCATCTCTCAGTCTTGCATAGAAAGTAGTCTATATAAACTTAATTCACTGGCTTTTATTTCACAAAAGTTGTACCTGAAAGGTAGCACACACTCCAGTTAAAAACAAAAACAAAACAAACTTAATAGAGGGCGTCAAGATATCGTCCTCAAAAAGGGTAGAAGATTCTGCAGTTTGGGGTTCCATCCCTAAAGGCAGGATGATGTCCATTGGCTTCTCTCACGGTGCGGCCCTCCACCCCCAGTCCCCAACTCTCTGCCTAAGGACGAGAACCATCTCCCCAGGCTCTTACCTGGAGTTGTACATGGGAGAGAGGGGGCGCCCACCGTGTGGGGACATCAAGACCGGGCGCAGCATGGAGAAGCTGTGAGTGACTCATCTTGGAGGATCTCCCACTTCAGAACAGTCCCTAGTCTGTGAAGGGTCTCCTTTGTTAGATGGGGTGCAGCACAGAGCCCCCCCATCTGAAACTCAAGCCCCACTTCCGGTCTTCAGCTTCCAAACCCCAGACACAGCTTCTCCCTGGAACCCTGAGGCCATCTGACACCCCAGAACCCGGAGAGACAGGGACCACGTCCACCTTCCCGAGAGAATCAATCCTTGCGTGCCTGCCCTCCCTCCTGCGCCAACCCCCTCCCCCGACACGAACCCAGGACACGACAGAACCTTTTCCCTGTACAGTGCAGTCGACTGAGGCGCAACCAAGGTCCAAAAGCCCCCTTGGCCCCAGGGGCTGTGACAGTCACAGTGAAGACAGCGGTGGCCCACCCACAGAGGCGGCCCAGACACGGCAGGACCCACAAAGGTCTGCAGAGGGGGGGAAGAGTGCATGGTCGGAAGGAAGGTTCTTAAAAAGAGACAATTTACACGGGGCTGCATCTACCTAGCTCAGGCTACAGAACGGGGCACTCCCGCTGCCAGAAAATACTCTAGGCCTAAGAGCTACTGTTCCCCCAGCAGCATGGTGCCACCCTGCAGGGAGAGGGTGCTGGCCACCCTACAGGACGGGGTGCAGAGCATGGGAGGCAGGGGAGCGGCCCCTGGAAACGGCTCACAAGCGCCACCAGGAGGTCGGCAGAGAAAGGAAAGGAGAGAACAGACTTTCTACAGGTTCAGATCAGCGACCTGCCTCTTGCCAGCCTCTTAGAAGCCTTACGCTCCGTGATGAGGAGGTGGTTAGGGCTTAGAGTTTGGCGCCAAACGGCCCTGCTCCAAGACAAGGTAAAGCTGAAGCAAGTCTGGGCTTAAAATAACAATAACAATAATAATAATAAAAAACTTCAGAGACGGAGAGAGAGAAGAGGAAGAGTGCTGGGAGGGGAACCCTCGCCACCAGCACGGGTTAAAATAAAACAGAGTTCTGCCGACATGACAGGCGGACGCAGCAGCTGAACATGTGCCTCCTGCCCCGAAACAACATTCTAAAAATGGGAAAAAAGGGGCCACAACGAGAGGACAAAGGGGAAGGCATTTGCCTTGCACGCAGCCGACCAGGGTTCGATCCCCAGCATCCTATACCATCCCCAGAGGACTGCCAGGAGTGATTCCTGAGTGCAGAGCCAGGAGGAACCCCTGGGCACTTCCGGGTGTGCCCCTCCCCCCAAAAAAAAATTAAAATGAAAAAATTTAAAAAATGACTGGCTCTGTGTTTTCCAAATAATGGCTATGGAGGCGCAAACAATACTCCCACCCGAGGGTGATACTTTTGGTTGAAAGGAAGCAAATACTTGGAGGAGGTGCCTTGCGCCGAAGGGGGGTAGGGACTTGAGGGATCCCTCGGGGGTCGCAGGCCACCGTGCTCCCAGCAGACACAATCCAGGAGGAGCAAGGCTGGACCAGACATTGGTGCTGATGCTGGAGGGGGCGGGGGCGGGGATGCTCCACACACCTGCCAGGTGGCCGGGATCCGAGTACAGGGTCCGGCCGGCATTTCCATGCGTGGCACTTTCTCTTTTTCTGTGGGGGCAGGGGCACAGGTGAGAGCAGTGGGAGGGAGGAGAGAGAGAGAGGAGGAGGCGCCAGCCCCGTGCGGGGCGATGCCCAGGAGATGCGCTGGTCCGAGCGGCTCTCCTCACGACCGCTCGCCACCACCTCAGCACAGAGTTCTACATTCAAGCTTCTTCAGTGGTACGTGAAAAAACGTGAAAAACGACAAGTCAGACACCACACGTCAAACACGGGACACACAGAGAGACTCTCTGCCAGTATGTAAGGGGTCATGGCGCGGGTCTGGAACTCTCTCCCACAGGCAGGGGGGCCCCAGGGGTGGCGGCAGGCTCCAAGCCAGGCCCCCGGGGTGCCCTGATGAGCCCTGCGTCACAGCGTGTCCGATCAGTCAACAGAGAGACACACGGGAGACCTTATTTCAGACGCCCACACAGAGCGTGCAGCTCACTGAGTGACCCCAGCCCACACTCGCACGAAGCTTTATCAGATACATTTCTGTGTCTTAGAAAAATAAAGAGAATGGCCAATGGACTGAGCCGCAGTGACCTCACAGACGTAGAAGCGTGTCCAGCGAGCATATAGCCCTGTGGGGCCACGTTCATGTCAAAGCAGTTTGGTTATGGAAATCAACCTGATTTGAAGTTCACAGTTGATTACTAAAAAGTTTCTTCCTTCTTTTTTTTTTTGCTTTTGTTTTTTTTTCCTGGCCCATATAAAAATAACATATTGCAACTCAAAGTGCATCTTTTAAAATAAACCATCGACTATCTTTATCAAATAAAATATTTACACCATTTGGTTTCTAAGTGAGGAAAGCGCTTTCAGGCGATCACCATGGGGACGTCATCTGAGAATCCAGTGATCATGGGAGCGTCTTCATCATCCTCCCCTGAAGGGAAAAAGCGGCACCGAGGTGAGTTGGAGCAGCTATGCCAGTCAGGCATGACATCCCCTCCCCAACCCTCAGTGACCAGCTGGGCTTTCTCCAGCGGTGAAAGAGGCAGTGAGTCTTCAAGACGGAGAGCTGGCACCCTGGCACCTCCCGGCCACGGGGGAACCACAAGCACTCTTCTCCCCTGTGGGAAGGGGTCTCAGAGGAGAGTGTGTACATGAGGGGAATGTCCCACACTCCTCACTGACCCGTGGGGAAGAATATGTTGCACCCCAGTTGCCCACGCCGGGAGTTACAGAGACAGGAGTGACCAAGCCACCCGCGCCCGTGCCAGGCGGACTTGGCCTTTATATCAGGTAAGAAAAGGAACATGGGGCTGGAGCAATAGCCTAGCAGGTAGGACGTTTGCCTTGCATGCGGTCGACCAGGGTTCGATTCCCAGCATCCCATATGGTCCCCCGAGCACCGCCAGGAGTGATTCCTGAGTGCAAGAGCCAGGAGTAACTCTTATGCATCGCCGGGTGTGACCCAAAAAGAAAAAAAAGAAAAAGAAAAAGAGGCGGGCATTGGGTGGGAATCCACCCTGCTTGCATCAACCCAACAAAAGCGAGAACTCGTCGACAGAGAAACGTCAGGGCTCCACAGGAGCCCTTTTCCACACTGAACGCCGGACCGGCCCCAGACGCACGAACTTCATGGTCTCCTGCATGCTCTTAGCACTTAGAGATGTCGGTGAGGAGGGTAACGCCTTCCTTTCCTCCCCGTGCCATATGTTCCCAGTGAAAACTGACAAAAGCCCGCAGGAAGACAAGGCCTTCCCCGACCCTGCCGGGGGTCCCCGAGACGTCCGACCTCGAGGCTCTGGGAAGCAAGAGGTTAAAGGCTGGGAAACTCGTGAGCAAAGTGTTTGTTAGTACCAGGGAAGCTGCTAAAGCCCGGGGCTCATCCTGGACGAGGCAGGAGGACCCCCTCGGCAGCTCCTCCAGCCCACCCCACCCCCGGCTGGCGTGCTGCGGCCCCCACTTACCCAGGTCATCCCCCGAGGAGAAGATGGCCGAGCCCAGCCGGGAGCTGTAGTGGCTGTTGGCAAAGGCGGTAAAGCTGCTCTGTAGCCGGCGGTGTTTGGCGTAGAGGACGGCAAAGCCGACCCCCAGGCTCAGCAGGATCAGGAACAAGATGGGCACCACCACGGCTGCCACGTCAGGAGACCTGGGCACCTGCACCTCCGACGTATCGGCCGCTGCAGGGCAAGAGGCCGCCCCCGTGAGGCGCCCGGTGCTGCCCCGGCAGCCCCTCGGCACCCCACACGGCTCAGCGCCCGCCTGGCAGGAGGGCCCTGCACGTGGTGCCTGAGCGCTGCTCCGTGCCACGAGCGGGGCCTTGTGCATGCAAATACGGTAATTACATTAGGCCCCTAATCACTGCCTTGTTGGTTATTTAGATAATCTCTTGGAAGGGAGACCTTTGTTGGGGTATCAACATTGATTTCATTAGCATTATTACTTAAGACCACTTGCTTGCCTTGCATAAGAGGATGTGAAATCAGACCACTAATTAACGAGATTGCAATTATTTCCCCCTACTTGGCACCGAAGTCGCTCTGAATTGCAGTTACCTGAAGGTCCATTAAGTGACACAAACAAGATTCCTTTACTACAACACTGACTTAACAGCTCATGAAGTTTTATGAGGCTTTTCCCCCCCTTTAAACTTAAATAAAAGACGGGGAAAGGCAGCTTTTCCGTACACGTTTCCTGAAGCGCTCCATAAAGTCACGCAGGTGATTCTCACCTAACTGCGGTGCCCCTTCCCATTGCCTTCTGAGGCACGGGCTGGTGATGAGGACGATGATGTACAATATGGTGTATGATACACGTATGATAACAGTGGAGCCTGTTACTGTCAGAAATCCTGGGGGAAGCCTGAGCTGGAGGCAGGAAGACGGAACTTAGGAGCCCATTTATTTTTGGCTTTTTGGGTCACCCAGAGCGATGCTCAGGGGTTCCTCCTGGCTCTGCACTCAGGAATCACTCCTGGCGGTACTCAGGGTACCATATGGGATGCCGGGGATTGAACCCAGGTCAGCGCCTGCAAGGCAAACACCCTCCCCGCTGTACTATCGCTCCGGTCCCAGGAGCTCGTTTTTATACTGAAGCAAAAAAGCCCCCTGAGTCCTGGGAGGAGCCTGGTCAGGGTAGGGGGCAGTTCTCTGCTAGGAGGGGATGCAGTAAAGGGTTCCCAGGACTCATCCTGATGAATGATTGGGCTGGGCAACACCGCTGCTCACAGCTCTAACCTAACAAGTTGATGATTAGGCTTTTATTTCCAGTCCTTTCCTTATTTGCTTGGGATGAGGGATTTGGGCAGGGAGAACCCTTAACCTCTCCCTCCTACGTCCAAACCTAAGCCCACCTGATAAATGGGGGAGAGTACTCTTCAGTAGTGAGGGGGGTCTCTGGGGGGACTGGGCATACCCCCAGATGTCTGATCAGTCACATCCTGCTTGCGAGCCTCTGTGCTCCTCACCAAGTCAACCTCTAGAACGGCCGACTGGTTTCCCTTTAGAAGCTCGGCAGCGGGGCATGTGCTTCCCATGCACGAGGCCCTGGGTTAGACCCCCAGCACCCAAACGAACAGCAAAGGGCTTGGCGGGCAGGAGTGCAGGCAGGGGGCATCCTGTAAGGTGCCCCTGGAATCGTGGTTGTGACTGGGAACCTTTGGGAATTGTTCCTGTCCTGCAGGGAGGAGGCTTCTGGAGATGCCACGGAGCACTGTCTCACCAGATCCCACGAGAAGAGACCTCCAAGTCAGCACACAGCCGTGGCCTGCCCGCTGCCTCACCGGAAGCACAGTGTTGGCTGCACTCCCAGCCAGGCTTCACTCCCGCAGTGGCAGGATTTCTCTGCCACCATCCATGGGCCCCTGCACGGCTGCCGGGAGTGTCCACAGAGCGCAGGGGGCCAGGGGAGATCAGGACACCCGCATTTCATTCTGAGCTGCTGCATCCTGAACACAGCCCCCACCCATCCACCCACCCACCCACCCACCCACCCTCTGCCTGATTTAGTTCTCCGGGCAAACCCTGGGTGCATGGGACTTACCGGAGCCCAACTCGTCGTACAGCAAGACGGCGGGCTCCCCGCAAATCTGGCTCCCGACGAGACACCTCGCTTGGACGGTGAAGGTGTAATTGTGACCCAGTTTCAGGTTGGAGATCTTGAAGAAGTTGTCCGTCGTGTTCCCCAGGTAAGCGCTGATGTTCATGGCACTGTCGAACATGTGGATCTCATAGCCCTGGGAGCACACAGGGAGAGGGGGTAGGTGGGTGATAAGCTCATCAGGTGGGCTTCTCCCCGGCCCCCTTTCCCTGACTGCCATGCCCACCTAGGAGCTACCTGTCACCAGCTGAAGGTACAGTCCCATGCAGTGCAGTCCACAGACTGGGCTCTGTTCACTGCTCCACCTTGAGCCCAGTGGCTTTCCACAGGGCTAAGGGGAAGGAGTTTGCCTTAGAAGAAAACTCTTCCCCTTCAAACAACGGGAAGGTATCACCACCGCCCTCCGCTCACTTCCTGTCACCCTGTTTGCTAGCACTTCTGAACAGATCTCAGCTCTAGTCCAGCCCAGCACCCCAAGAAGCATTTCTACGGACTTGGGTGCCCATTCGCTAGGGAACCCTCCTGGGCTGGCTCAGGGAGACTGCACCCCCTCCCCATAATACACGAAGGTCCCCAGGCTCAGGGAGACTCTGCCCCCTCCTCATATACTGAAGGTTCCCAGATTTCCCACCCCTGTCCTGCACCCGAGTCCCCCACTAATGACAACTGGTTTCCACACAGGACCTCCCAACACCATCACCGGGAATCCCCGTCCCACGAGCTCCTGTCCACCCGCTGAGACATGTGGCACATTTGTAGAATAACATAAGGCGCCAAGAAAAAAATATTTGAATGGGGCGTCACTATTTTGTTATCCCAGCAGACACCCTCCTGAAGACCTCAGATGTGCATGAACTCTGAACTCCTACAGGGAACGCTGGGTACGCCCGCCGCCGGGCTGTCTTTGGTAATGCGCGGTCCAGTGCACCAGCCCGATGAAGCAACCCGCTTCGTTCACACGGCCCACCCACCCGGCTGTTCCTCTCTCCCCTGGAAATTCTGTCTCTGCAGCCCACGGGATTGGCGAGGAAGAGACGTTGCTAGTTCTGGCTGATTGTGCTGGAGTTTCTTGGTTTTTAACTTTGAAATCTGCACCTTCTTTCAAAATGAGACTATTTCTGTTCTGGTTGGTTCCCAAGCTCCCTTGATATTTTGAGGCTAGTCGCCATCGAAGATGTCACAGTTGATGAGAAATCTCCAGTCTGGACACGGCCTTGCTTTTGGCACTGCTCTAGGATTGGAGTGGTATCTGGGGTCTTTGCCCTCAAGACACTTTGTGGGGCCGTGGGGGACGGAGGGGACTGAGTCTCTCTTGAACCTGACCAAAGCAAACAAAAAAGGGCCTTGGTACAGCAGCGAGCCCTTCCCGCTCCCCCTGGGATTTCAGAGGGAAACAAAGGGAGGAGAAGCCAGTGGAGTCAGATGCTCAGGCTGTCAGTTCCCACGTGAGGCCGAGACCAGCCGCAGGAGGGCCAGCAAGGCTGCAGCCTGCCTTCAAGGAAAGGCAAGTTCAGAACTGGAGAAAAAAAAAAAAACGCTTAGCGCAGGGATTCTCCTCCTTAATGGGCAGCAGAGACATCCCACTAATTAGCCATTCCACAGAAAATGGCCCTTTAATTCTCCAGCTCTTCCTCTGCCCTCTTTCTTCTTCTTCCATCTCTGCCAGCGTGCTGTTAACGAGCTCATCTCTCTAAAATCGTGTTTCAATTACATTTCCAGGGCCGCCGAGAAGGAGGGACCCGGCACTTACCCGGCTTTCATTAAAATGTTTCTCCTTCAGCGCGAGACTTTTCCAAAACAAAAGGACGTGGTCGTTTTCCGTTAAGATCTTTAAGGCATCCGGTGCTGATAACGAAACTGGAAAGCAAAGGGAATAGGATGGGGTGAGTGTCTGGGTGGGAGTCGGAACCTCTGGTTCTTTGTTAAAAGAGAGATGGGCCAAAGGTCAGCCCGGGCACTGCTGCCCGGGGGACCTGCCACGGGGCGGGCAGTCTGCTCAGGTATATGGATAGTAAATGTCCATGGCTGGAGGTGAGAAGGGAAGACCAGGATAGGACTGTGGGGGGGGGGGGGAGGGGAAGGAGAGAGGGGTCTTGGTTTCAAGGTCTATAGCTCTCAGGAGTGTCCCCTGGTGTCCAGCACACCCTGTGTCTTCCTTCGAGAACTGGAGCCGGCCTCTCGGGCCAGGCCCTGGCTCCCGGGGAGAGGAGACTGCATCCGAGGGCCGGCTCACCCGTGGTCAGCTTGAGGGCGGCCTCTTTGCTCATGTTGCCCAGCTGCACGATGACGTGGTACTTGCCGCCCGGCTCCAGCCTGCTGAGCGCGAACTCCACGGTGCTGTTGCGGGACGTCACTTTGTAGCTGCGGTCGCTCCTCCGCACCAGGTCCTTCACGGTGATGACGTAGAGCTGGGGGCAGCAGCGGGTGGGGTGGAGGGGGGGCAGCTGCTCAGTGCACGGGAACCCAGTGCTCACTCCCCAGACCCTGCGGCCGCAGAAGCAGAGGCAGCAGCAGGCAGCCGCTCAGAGCAGGCGAGAAACGTTTTTTCCCACTCAGGGTTCGACTGGGTGGCCGTCACTACCTCGTGTCCTCGGAGCCGGGCGATCCTGTCCAATCCCGGCTCGGGAGGATCAGGAACCCGGCTGAGGCTGTCTAGCGCGTGAAGGGACACAAGAGGGGGGATGACTATGGGAAACTTAGTCGCCTCGGGGAGAAAGAACCCGAAGACAGTGGCCGAGGGCCAGCGCCTATGGATAACCCCCGACGACGCCATCACACGTTACCTCGGTAACTAAGACACTTGGAAGGATGGGCCGGAGCAATAGCAAGAGGGGAGGGTGCCCACCTTGCATCATCCCCAGCACCCCAAAAGGTCCCCCACTCCCCACCAGGAATGCTCCCTGAGCACAGAGCCAGAAGTAGACCCTAAGCACCGCCAGGTGTGGCCTCCCCCCCAAAAAAAAATTGAATTGAGAAAAAGCTTTAAGTAGCTAAACATTAACGCCCAGTGTTCTGGGATGGGATTGGGGGGCAGGGGGAATGGAGTTCTTCTAGAACCACGCTCTCTCCAGCCTCACCAGCAGGCTTTCCTAGGGCTGGGCACCGTCAGGGGCTCTAAGTACCACAGCCTCCTGACTGCTGTCGGCTGCACAGTAGGCCGACAGTGCTAGTCTGTGAATGCGTGCCGAGCACTTGACCTCAGTTCCACTTTGTCACAGAAACGGCTGATGAGGTTCGTGGCCCAGAGGCCACTGTTTGCTAACCCACTGCAGAGGACGGGGGCAGTGGCAGCCCCCCCCCCCAGCAGGCCCAGGTGTCCCGTCCTCTTGCAGCTCACCAAGTCTTGCTCGGGGGCGTCGTACGGGGGTTCCCACTTGACCACGGCGGACGTCTTGCCCGTGCGCACCACATGCAGGCGCCGGGGTGGCAGCCGGCTGTCGGGAATCATCCGAACCACCACGCAGTCGGAGGACGGGCCCTGGTAGGGCGCCACCACCCGGACCTAGAACAAGCCCCCCGAGCGTTTACGATCGCCACAGAACCAGAGACCACCCCCCCACCCCCATCCTCGGCCACGGCTCCAAGGCCATCAAGGAGCCACACGTGGAGCCACGGCCCACCCACCCCAGGCCTGAGTCCTGTTGGGTTTCCTCTCAGAAGCTTCTGCCCTGTGGGACTCGGGCAGAGCCGGGATGCAGGTGGGACACGCTATCCACACATGTGCAACGCGAGTGCATGCATGAACATGCTTCTCATGCCTCCTGCTCACCGTGAGAGCCAGGCCCCACCCCACCCTGCGGTGCCCCATGGGCGTTCTCTCTCTCCCCAGATCTGGGGGATCCCGGGTCCCATCGCGATCACAGGCCTAACCCCAGGTGGTGGGTGCTGGTTTCCGATCTTTATTTCCCCCCAAACACCTTGGCACACGCATAAAGGTTCGGAGGATAAATTCCTGGAAACGGAATCCGAGGAGAGCTTTCGGCTCTTCCTGGGACCCAGGTGCCAAGCTGGCGAGTTTCCACGGTGGCGCCAGTTGGCTCAGGGGCTATTCGCTGTGTCTCAAGAGCCCAGCCCGGTGCCCAGAGCCTGCTAGAGGTGGAGAAGCAGCACCTCAGCAACGCCCCACCCCTGCCATCCCCCAAAAATGACGGAACTTCAGCCTGTGGGCGCGTGGGGCTCTCTGGGCAGCTCACCAGGAACAGGTACTGCTCGTCGGGGCTGACGATCACGGTGCTGTTGTGGAGGGTCGTGGTCAGGCTGCGCGGGTTCCGGTACAGGTCGAGGAAGGACGTAGCATAGAAAACCCCATAAACCTGGGACGAGAAGGAAAAGTGGGCCACGCGCCAGCACCTTCCAGAAGGTGAAAGAGCAGAGGCTGCAACCCTGGGCCAACTGTTGGCTCTGCCTGCACCCCGGAACGCCGGGGACTTCTCTGATTCTCAGGGTGCGTGATGGGGGTCGTCCCCCCACCCCCACCAGAACTGACCGCAGGGCGCCTGCACACAGGGGGCTCCGTGAACCTGACTGCTCCGTCTCTCCCCTTAGCTCTCATTCACGCCACCCCTCCCCCACACCCATCCGTGTCCCTCGTCCTTGTCTCTGTCCCCATCTGGGCCCTGAGAGTCACCAAGCCGCGGTGCTAGCAGAGTTCGTGTTGCCGCTTCTCCTTGTGGAAATCCCAGAAAGTCATGTTTTTCCCCTCAAGGCACTTACAAAAGGGCAGGGAGGAGGGGTGCAGCAGGAAATATGCAGGGGACATCAGGAACCCTGAGGGGGACATCAGGGGCTCTGCCAAGTGCCCGGAGATGCTGGGCATTGTGAGGGGAGACACTGGGGCTGGACAGGGAGGAAGGAGGAGGCGGGGAGGTGGGGGACAGAGTCACAGCTGGGAGGGGACAGAGACTCCAAACCCAGCCTAACTGTGGCAGGAGGAAGGGGCTGGACAGGGCGGGGGGTGGTCCTTCCACGCAACACTCGTCACTGCCGTGGACCACTCAGCCCCGGGCCCTCGTCACTGTCCTTGGGGTACCGACGCCAGGCAGTGGTGGCTGGAAGAGACTGTGCGTGGGGAGAAAGGACAGTGGACACCGCCGGGGACCTACCACGTTCCTGGGGCCCGTCCAGGTGCATTCCACAGCGGTCTGGTTGGTGGCCTTGGCCTTGAGGCTCGGGGCCGGCGGGCGGACGCCTTTGGTGGTGACGTGTTCGAAGGCCAGCGGGCTGTCACCCAGCTCTGTCTTGGCCCAGGCGGAAATCTCATAGGCCGTCTGGGCGGTCAGGTTGCCCACTGTGGAGGCAGGGATGAGGGCGCCGGTCACACACATAGGCTGGGACGGGGCTCGCGGTGGGCCTGGGCTCTAGCTCCCACACTCCCTGCTGACGCATGTGGGCATGGGGTAGTGACCGAGGAGCTGGAAAAGCATCTCCTACCCCCGTACACAGGCCAACACAGGGGCAACAGCTACACGTGCCGGCCCCGACCTCTGTGTGTGTCCACAGGGACCTTTCATTCTGTGTCACAGAAAGGACACTGAAATAAAAGACATCAAGCGTCTTTGTTTGGGGGTGGGTCACAGCCGGCAGTGCTCGGGGCTTACTCCTACTTCTGTGCTGATTGGAGGCAGGTGTTCTACCCACTTACACTATCTCTCAAGCCCCTCTAATTTGATTTCTTTTGGCTTTCTGGGTCACACCCAGTGATGCTCAGGGGTTACTCCTGGTTCTGCACTCAGGAATTACTCCTGGCGTAGGGTGATGCTGGGGATCGAACCCAGGTCGGCTGCATGAAAGGCAAACACCGTCCCCACTGGACTATGGCTCTAGCCCCTACATTTGATTTTTGAGACGATAAAGAGACCAATGAAGAGAAAGAGATATTGACAAGGGGTCTCTGAAACGGAAGGGCAAAAGGTTCCCCCTGGGAGATGAGATGAAGGGAAAAGACATTTTCCAGACTTTCTGCAGTGACTACACATCCCCTCTCTAATGACGGGGAACATTATTAAAGACCAAAGAGCCAGGAGGACACATCAGCAGGGAGCCCTGAGGGCCACCAGGAGTGGCTCAAGGCCAGCCTGTGCTCGGCGGTGCCGCCAGGGCAAAGGATTCAGACCCCCTCGACTCACTCCCTAGCTTGTAAGATGTATCAAAAGATCACAGCGGTTAGAGTCATTGTGTGGACCGAGAAAGGAATCTTCGGGAAGTGCTCGGCATGGGGCCGGCCATGAGCTCACCCTTCACCTAGCTCAGGCCGCAGCCAAGAAAGCTTTTTGTTCCATTCGCTCCGAATGAGCCGCTTGGGACCGGCGGGGTCACAGTTTCCGGAATAAAAGCAGATCCAGGTTTGATCCCAGCCCCTCCATCTCTGTCTCTGAGACTCATTTTCTCCCCTGAGGAGTGAGTGAGTGTGGCCACAGCCCGGGGCCCGCGTGGCTCTCACTCGTGGGCGGGCTCAGGGTTCAGAATGAGCGTCAGGGTAAAGACCCAGGCCTGGGAGTACGAGCGGGCTGGACAGAGCTTCGCTCGGCTCAGAGGAGAGGGAGGAAGGCATGAGCGGAACCCTGTGGCCCGTTCTCAGCATGTCCTGGGAGACTCGCCCCTTACGCAGGAGAGGGGTGGACCCTGTCCTGCCATCATTTGTACTTTCACTGGATGTACCAGGTCCGGGACTGCCTCTTGTGAACAAAGGCGTGAGCCAGGCCGAGGAGGGCAGGGAGGGAGGGTGGGAAGTAAATCCAGGCCCTCCTGTGTGCAGGATTCACTGCACCCCCCCACTCCCCCCTTAGCTAGTGTCCACTACAATCTGGAGCTGTCCGAGTGGCACTGAGGTGGGAGACCCACCACCACTGGGACCCTCGCCCGGACCCAGACGCCGCTCACTCAGCCTTGACCCCGTGCCCCTCCGGCCCACCCCTGCCCCCCGCCCTCCCCATGCTCACCCTTGTGGGACAGTGAGCTGCCCCGGAAGTTCAAGGTTCTCTTCTCTTGCTTGTGGCTGTCAAAAGCCCAGAACAGGTTGACCACGTAGCCAGTGACCTGCCAAGGACCAAGAGTGACAACGGCGCGTCCTGCAGAGGGGCCACAGGCCTCCAGAGCGACTCCAGAGCGACCCGGCCGCTCCCCGCGCTCCCCCCCAGACACAAATGCAGGACGGAGACTGGGGACTGGGGGTCCCGGGTGCGTCCCTCTGGGGGAACCTCGACTTTAGCACTTGGCACCAGGAAATCCAATAAAGCTGAAAATCACAGGGCTTGGATCCTGTTAACGCCGACTCTTTATTTGTGCTGTAGCTGTGAACCACTTAATTATACGGTTTTAAAAAAGGGGGGAAAACCACACACACAAGGCACCAGGCTGAGACGGGTAATTACACACGAGGCTCCGTTCTATCCCGGTGGGTGAGAGACCTACCTCCTGGGTCGGTCAGCTTCTCCAGGCCAAGCCATTTCTTCTCCCCGACCCTCCCAGATACCCCCACTGAATCTCCATGCTACCTTTGGTTTATTTCATTTTGGGGGCCACACCCGGCGGTGCTCAGGGCTCTCTCCTGGCTCTGGGCTCAGGGATTGAACCGGGGTCGCCCTGCGCAGCAAAGGCCCTCCCCCCGTGCCCAGCCGTAGCCACCCATGTTACCTTGACGGTCCCAGCCATGGTCAGGGTGAAGCTGAGTGAATTCTCACTGTAGCCATCAATGTGAATCTGGGGTGGGGGGATCACTGTGAACAGAAGCGAGCAGTCAGCCAGTGACCACGGGCAGAAGTGAGGCCGGAAAGGCCCGGGATGCTGACCCGAGGGCATTAAGCCTCCTTTCCACGGGCAAGGGAGGGGCATCCCTCAAGCTGTTCTCCCCTGGGGGTCCAGAACCGTGGTCCAGGCCATGGTCGCCTGGTGAACGCAGAACTGCCCCGGCCAGCTGGCCTTCCTGGCCTCTCAGTGGGCAGGAAAGTTCCGTGACATCGGTGCCCCCAAAGCAGCTCTGCAGCGGCATGCCCTGTGGGCAGCGCCGAGACCCCGGATGGGGCAGGTGAGATTTAAGCCATAAGGGTGACCTGCAATTTCTGGGAGTGCAGCCAGCACAAGCTCAAGTTCCTGCCAGACCCTAGACAACTCTTGGGCCTGGGATGACTGACGGGTCCCCACAGGGGAGAGGCTGCTGGACCCCGCAGAGCGGGCACGCAGGCCCATGGCCCCTAGGAGCCACAGAGGAGGGGAGCACGTCGGGGAAGGCATCGGAGGCCAGACCGGGGCCGGACCCAGTCAGCGTTTCCTCAGCTCCACACTGGAGGGGGGACGGAGCAATGGGGACACGGCCGGGCTCCATTGACTCTCCACAGCACGGCCAGGAGCCCTGGGGCCTCCATCCCCCTCCCTGGGACGCCAGCCCCACCCATCGCCCACACCCCCTGCCCGCCCGAGTCGGTACCTTTTCCTTTCGTGGTGGTGATGGATTTCGAGTCACTCCAGTTCCCTATCCCACGGCTGGTCACTGCGGCCACCTGTGCACACCAGGGGCGTGTTAGCCGGAGATCAGGCCAGACAGCAGGAGGCCGGGTGGGCTGAGTCCCTGCAGGGGGGCGCGGGGCAGCCGAGGCCCCGGGGCTGAGACAGGGGGCCAGGCGGTGACTTGACACGGTCGGCCGCCGGGATGATGTTTAGAGCACCTCAAGGCAGGGGTGCGAGGGGGAGTGCACATGGATGTGTGGTCCCAGCACCCCCAAACGTGCGAGATGGCAAAAGTGAGCTTGTGTCATCTCGCCCATTGCACGCCGTGGCGGGGGACTCACGAGGGGCACGGGGCTGCAGGCGGCAGCTGCCCACGCAGGAAGAAGGCGGCCACCACGGGGCCGCCGTGCACCAAGCTGGCAGGGAGAGCGGCATCCCCCCTAGCCCCGGTCACACAAGGGCCTCTGGCGCTGCTGAGGGAAAGGACCCCCGGGGCCAGCGGGCACTCACCCGGACGGTGTACTGAGTGTTCACCAGCAGGTCCCGGATCTCGGTGAAGTTGCTGGCAGCGCGCTGGGACGCCCACACCTTGGAGCCGCTCCTGCTGTGCTCCACCTGCGGGACCAGGATCGTCACCCAGGGCACCCACCCAGCACCCTCCCTGGGCAGGAGAAAGCGAGAGGCCACGTCCACTCCGGCCCTGCGGTCCCCGGGCACTCACGATGTACTCTCGGATGAGGCCATGGCTGTGGGTGGGGGGCATCCAGTGGCCGAGGATCACACCTTCCTCCTCCCTGTGCAGAGACAGCTGGAGATCTCGGGGGGCGTCCGGCACTGGAAAAGAATCCCCATGGTGTTGAGGCCACCAGGGGACCCCAGTGCCCGGCCGGGGCAGGGAAGCACTAGGAGCCGCCTGGAAGTTGGGAGCAGGGAACAGCCTCAAGACCAGCTGGACCCCGCCTGGCCTGGCTTGGCCCCAGTGCAGGGTCTTTCTGTGGAGGACTGAGAGTGTGTAGCAGGTCTGCCTTCCTCACAGCGCCCTCCCCCAGGGTTTGCCAGGCTGCCAGCCAGCTCTAGAGGTGGCTTCTTGGAGACACTTTGGAAGGGCCAGAAAGATGGCTCAGTGGGCAGGGCACACTTTGCATCTAGGCTTGATCCTGCCACGACACCCCAGTGTTCCCTGAGCATCACTGAGTCTGATCCCAAAATGACAAAAGTATTTAAAAAAAAATATGTCGGGGGCTGGAGCAATAGCAGAGTGGGTAGGGTGGTTTCACTTGCACGCAGCCGACCCGGGGTTCGATTCCCAGCATCCCATATGGTCCCCCAAGCACCGCCAGGAGTAATTCCTGAGTGCATGAGCCAGGAGTAGCCCCTGTGCATCGCCGGGTGTGACCCCAAAACCAAAATAAATAAATAAATAAATATATGTCAGTTATTAAAAAAAAAATCTTCTGAAACTTTGTTCTGAGCCAGGGTAGAAGCCACTCGTCGATCCAGTCTCACAACTTCCTGGTCCAGCTCCACCTTGTGGGGCAAGGAGCAAGCAGGACTCTCTGCCCTGCCCGGCGGTGTCCATGGAGAGGAGGCCAAGGGGACAGTGAGGACACAGTCAGTCATGGGCAGGCCCTTGACCCAGCTGGCTTGTGTCCTGAGCACAGGCACAGAGGGAAGGCCACGAAAAGAGGACATGCCACGGGCCACAGGAGAAGCCACAGGAGTAACCGCCCAATAATGTCCTGACCGTGGCCCAGGAGGAAACACGTTTCCGTGGCAAGTGGCCCATGTGTGGTGTTTTTTCAGAGACCTGCACCACACCCCAGGGCCGGAGCAGGTGCCAGTCTATCCTGAGCCACCTGGGTGGGGGCTGGAGGCTGGCAGAGACTAGGCCACAGTGCCGCGGGCTTAGCTAAGCTCCTCACGGTGCTATGGCACCTTTCCTTGCTCTCTGGCGCACACGCCACCACCAAATGCAGGTCCTGAAGTGCCTCCCTACACGCTTCCTGCGGCCCCACTCTCTGCTTTCAGTGCACGGCGGTGACCCTAGTCGGGAACTCCAAAACTCTCTGCCCACCCATGTCGCCCCCTCCCTTCCTCTCACGCCCCTCGTGGGCCCTCGACGCACCATCGTGAGCAAGTATCATCGAGCCACAGACTCATAAACAGGTTCACAGCTGGGAGTCAAGAGGCCACGGGAGTCCGGAAACAGATGCGAGGATCAGCCCACAGCCCCCCGCCCCCGACCCGGAACCCGAGGGGAAGACAAAGGTGGGGAGCAGGGAGCTCTCGCCTCGGGGCTCTTGCATGAGTGACCAAGATCCCCCAGGGAAAGGAACGCAGGGAAGGCCCCCGCGGGAGAGCTGGACACGGGCCCTAGCCCCGGAGGATGAAGTATCTGCCTGCCCCAGTGCTCAGGAGATGCACCGCGTCCGTCCGCCCACGGGCCGCAGCCCTGCCAGCGAGGCCCCGTGTCAGCCCAGACTCACATCCTTCGGGCGTCCGCAGCGTCACGAAGTCGTTGGTGTTGTGGGCCTTGCTCAAGCACTGCACCTGCACCTTGGCCTGGTACGTGGTATCAGGCTTCAGCACATGCAGCACCGTGCTGGTCTTGTTGCTGTGGGTCTCCAGGACCTTCCAGATGCTCTCGCCCACCGTCCTGGCAAGCAGGGACGAAGTGCGTTAGGCAGTGGGCACAGGGCTGCATCCGGGGGCGGGCAGGAGCGGGGCGGGGCGGGCACACCCACCTGTAGTAGACGTCATACACACACGTGGATGCTGGCATCTTCTTGGGCCGTGTCCACGTCAGTGTCACATCCCCAGAGAAGTCCGTTGTCCACTGCAGGTTCTGGACCTTGTAGACCGTCAGCTCCTCTAGGGAGAGACGGGGCGATAGCGCCCAGTTTGCACCCAGGAGCCTGGGGCCTATTCCTGCACTGCGTGGGCCCCAGCACAGCCCGGAGTGGCACCTGGGCATTGCCAGAGAAGGGGTAGGATGGGACGAAGTGGCCCCAGGGACTCCTCAGAGCCGTGGGGCTGTGGCCAGCATCAGAGACATCCCGGAAAGAGGGTCAGAACCCAGCCCAGCCATCATCTGCTCCCAAAGGCTGGAGCCTGAGACAGGGTCACAGCTGCTACCATCCTGCCTCCGCAGCCCCTCAGGCCCCCCAGGCTGCGACCTGGCCAGTGGGGGGCCGGAAGGAGGGGTATGCAGGGAGGTCTGGCCCCTGGTGCCATGCAAGGCCAGACGCCAGCCTTGCGAGCAGGGCGAGCGGCCTTGGCAGATCCCTGTGGGGGCCCACGCCCTGTCCAAGGAGTGCAGACCCCCAACAGGACTGACAGGATGGAACACAGCCAGGAGGAAGAGCAAGGGGAGAACATCCCCCTGAGGCCTGGGGTAGGGTCGCGGCCACCCCCACACACAGGCCACGTGAGCTGGAAGCTCAGGCAGAGGCAGCCGCGACCCAGGTCACCCCTACTCACGGCCGGGTCACCTGCACTCAGGGTCTGGGTCACCCCCGCTCAGGGCCCGGGGCAACCCCACTCAGGGGCCCGGTCATCCCCCACTTAGGGTCCAGGTCACCCCCACTCATAGCTGGATCACCCCCACTCACAGCCAGGTAACCCACATCAGGGTCCCAGTCACTTGCACTCAAGGTCCAGGTCACCCCCACTCACGGTCGAGTCACCCCCACTCAGGGTCTGGGGCAACCCCATTCAGGGGCCCGGTCACGCCCACTTAGAGTCCAGGTCTCCCCCACTCATGGCCAGGTCACCCCCACTCAGGGTCGCAGTCACCTGCACTCAGGGTCCAGGTCACTCCCCACTCACAGCCGAGTCACCCCCACTCAAGGTCCGGGGCACCCCCGCTCAGGGGCCCGGTCACGCCCACTTAGGGTCCAGATCTCCCCCACTCATGGCCAGGTCACCCCCATTCAGGGTCCCAGTCACCTGCACTCAGGGTCCAGGTCACCCCTCCACTCACAGCTGGGTCACCCCCACTCAGGGTCCGGGTCACCCCCACTCAGGGTCCGGGGCAACCCCACTCAGGGGCCCGGTCACGCCCACTTAGGGTCCAGGTCTCCCCAACTCATGGCCCCACTCAGAGTTCCTGGTCACCCCCAATCAGGATCCTGGTCACCTCCACTCATGGCCAGGTCACCCCCCTCAGGGTGTCGGTCACCCCCACTCACGGCCGGGTCACCCCCACTCAGACCCCGGTCACCCCCACTCACAGACGGTCCCGAGGACCCCACCCTCTCACCGCTGCACGCCCGCTCGTCACTCTCGTCGGAGCAGTCCAGGAAGCCGTCACAGCGCTCGGACAGCGCCACGCAGGCCTCGCCGTCGGCACACTGGAACTCCCAGCTCCTGCAGGCCAGGCTGCTGCGAGTGGCTGGGATACAAAGAGCCGCATCTTACCAACCCGGGCACCTGGGCTCAGGGTGAGAGTGAGTGTGCGGCCGGAACAAGCGTCCAGGAGCTCCACCCCCCTCCCCTGGCGGGGGTCCTGAGCAGACTCCCGGGCTCCCCTCGGCTCAGCCGCCCACGGACATGGTAGAAGCTCAGGGCTCGGGTTCAGTCCCGGCACTGCCCGTGCTACCCCCAAACAAAGACAGACGGAAGTAAAACCGCTTCCTTTTAGTTTCCTTTCAGGAGACGCTTTCTGAGAGGGTCGCACCCAGTGATGCTCAGGGCTTATTTCTGGCCCTGGTTCGGGGATCACCACTGGCAGAGCTCCGGGGACCCTATGTGAGGCCGGGACAAAACCCAGGCGTGCGCCCCCCACACCCACCCCCGCTGGACTCTCCAGGTGGGGTCTCCCAAGAAAGTGGGGGGGAAGTGGGGTGAGGTCTTGGAAATGAGGTGGCAAGTGATCTGAAAATCCTGAAAACAGACGATCACACAGATGCATCTTGGAGGAGAGAGGATGGTGACCGCTGAGGCCAGGAAAGAAGGTGGTGACCACGGGGAAGGGAGAGGAGATAGTGACCGCCAGATATGGGAGAGGAGGTGGCCGGCGCCCAGTTTCTTTGGAGAAGGCTGCGGCGGGACACGCCCCCTCTTTTCCTTTTCCCGTGATGTTCCCCGACTCATCGGTGGGGCGATCGGCGATCACACCTCTGGTCTTAAAGCCCCTAATATCGCCCCCCTTGTGGATGAGACCGGCTTGAAGCAGGCTAGGGAACATGCTTCGAGGCCCAGTGGACTGGCCAGTCTCGCCCAGGAGGGCAGCCCGGGTTGCTGTGTCATTTTGAACTTGTTTCACTGGGCTAGTACTTGCTTCTAGGGGTCAGATGTCTCTGCTATTTTCAGGAAAAATCCACTGTCTTTTTTTTTGGGGGGGGGGGAGGAATGGGAGAGGGGTGTGGTGTTTGCCACACCCAGCAGTGTTCAGGGCTTATTCTGGTGGGGTTGTGTCCAGGGATGCTAGGTCAACTGCGAGGCAGGCAAGCGCCGTCCATGCTGAACTCTGACCCCAGCCCCTTAACACCCACTCACTGTTCTGTATTTCACCCCCAGAGTGTATCGTTTCTTGTTACAGGTGGGTGCAGGCCTTGACACTCACCCCGTTTCAATCCCTTAGAGCTGGGCCGGCTTACCCCACCCTAACAGGCCTTTCTCGGAAAAGCGGGAGAGCCAGTCCCAGGCACGCGGTGACCCCCTTCAGCCGTGGTGTTTCTGGCCCCTGCCCTCTGGGCACTCACGGCAGTTGGCCTCGTCCTGGCCGTCCGCGCAGTCCCGGTGGCCATCACAGCGCTTCCAGTTGGGGATACACTTCCGGGGTTGCCGGCACTCGAATTCGAACCGGTCGCATCGCCCCGGCCGGGAGGGGGTGGAGGCCGCCGTGGCGTTTGCTGGTGAGGAGGAACCTGGGTCAGTTCCCCCAGCCCGGAAGTGGGACTCTAGCTACAGGCCCACCCGCTGGACACAGCGTCCTGCCTCACTCTGGCAGGACCCCACAGAGCTGTCCACTGAAGCAGAGATAATGGGGGGCAAAGGGGCTGGATCCGACCCGCTGAAGAGCCAGAGTCCCAGCCTGGGCTGTGAGCCTGAAAACAGGCAAGATGGGGGGGCAGGTCCCTCTGGTCAGAACCAGCTTTTGGTTATGGTTTGGGGTGATGCCCAGTGATGCTTAGAGGTTGTTCCTGGCGCTGTGCTCAGGGACCACTCCTGGGCGGGGCTCTGGAGGCATATGGGGGTGTCGGGAACAGTGCAAGGCGGACACCCTCCCCACTGTCCTATCACTTAGGCCCCATATGGGCCTTCACCTGCCACTCCCTGTTCAGCCACCAGATGGCACTGTTTACCCTCCTTTTAGTAAGAGGAGGAAAATTGGGCTTTCCTGGTTAATGCGCACACGTGCAGACACACACACACACACACACACACGCACACCCACATGCACACACACACACATACATGCAAACACGTGTCTCCCCGCCAACTCTGGAATCTTGTTTGGTTTCGTTTCGGGATCACACCCGGGGGTGGGGGGCCTCCTGGCTCTGTTCTCATGGATCACTCCTGGCACAGCTGAGAGGCACCCCCTGGGGTGCCAGGGATCAAAGCCGGGTCAGCTGCCATAAGGCCGGTGCCCTGCCCACTGGCCTGGCCTGCTCCCACCCAGGGAGAAGGAAACCAAGGTGGTCCAGAGCCCACTGGAGGATTGGAGGTGGACAGGGTGGGGCAGCCCCTCATCTCTGAGGAGCCAGCAGCCCTGGGGGCTGCACTCACCCGGCAGGGGGCAGGCTTCCTCATCCGAGCCGTCAGCGCAATCCTGGTAGCCGTCACACACCCAGCTGTCCATCACGCACGAGCCGAGGCTGCAGCGGAAGTAGTTGGGTGGACAGGTGGAGGGCCCGTGGGTGGGCACGGGGAGGTGGGACTCTGCGGCACACACCAGGGAGGAGACCCCCATGTCACAGGGGGCCCTGGAAGTCGCCAGCACGGGGGTGCCGTTTCTCCCCGAGTGCCCAACCTGGCTCTGGGCCACTGTCCCCATGACCTGGCCTCTCTCATGTGGCTTCCAAGGCAGGAAGCAGAGGCGGTCAGGGGTCAGCCAACTGCAGGCACCCAGAGACCGATCCAGGGCTGAAGACAACCCCCCGCAAGAGCAAAGAGCAGGCACGCCCTCCACGCTGCACATCAGGCGCCCCTGGTCTGGTCAGGCACAGGCCTGAATCCCGCACAACCAGCCTCCCAGCAATCGAGGGCTGACAGGCTGCCCCCTGCCCAGTCCCACCGCACCCGACCTGCTCACCCCCACAGTCAGCCTCATCCGACCAGTCTCCGCAGTCATTCTCGAGGTCACACTTCCACCTGCTGGGCACACAGCGGCCATTTGCACACCGGAACTGGGAATAGTGGGAGCAGTTGGGCGCGTCCGTGGGGTTTTCTGCAAAGACCAAGCACCCCGCAGGTCACTTGGAACTGCGCAGGCCCAGGGGCCACAGGACACGGAGCCGCCAGGGGTGAGGTCGCGTGGCTCTGGCCCATCGCAGACCAGCCTGCTCAGCTCCAGGGTCTGTGGCTTAGGGCACCGGGGTGCCCCCCACCGCCCCACCCACGTGGCCCTACCGCAGTTGGCCTCATCTGAGTAGTCCCCGCAGTCGTCCATGCCGTCACACTTCCAGATGAGGCTGACGCACACGCCGTTCTGGCACTGGAAGCTGAGCACGTCGCACACCTTGTGGAACTCGGGGTCCTGGGCTGCAGGGGGGAGGCGCTGCCGTGAGGCCCGGCGGGGGCACTGGCTCCTGAGCCGACCCCCGCACAGCAGAGGCCGTGCCCACCGCACTCACAGCAGCCAGCAAACACCGGGTCCTCGTCCGAGCCGTCCCGGCACTGCACGACGCCGTCGCACACCATGGAGTGGAAGAGGCATTGCTGGCGGTTCTTGCACACGAAGTCCATGAAGCGTGTGCACAGCGGCTCTGCAAGGTGGGGGGGGGGGGAGGGGGGAAAGGCCACGGGTCACCCACCAGCATCAGCAGGGGCGAGGGGAGCCGCTGAGCGGGGCCAGGGCTGGCCAGGCACAGGGCGTGGCCTGGTTGAGGGGTGTGGCTTAGTTGAGGGGCGTGGCCAAGGGGCGGGGCCAGGGCTGGCCTGGCGCAGGGCGGGGCCTGGTTGAGGGGTGTGGCTTAGTTGAGGGGCGTGGCCAAGGGGCGGGGCCCCAGGGGCGGGGCCGAAGGCCGGGCTGGGTGGGCGTGGCCTCGTTGGGCGTGGCCAGGCCGGGGCAAGGTCTAGGGGCACGGCAGGGCCGAGGGGCGGGCCTGGTTGCGGGGGCGTGGTCGAGGGGCGGGGCCTGGCCGGGGTGGGAGGGGCCTAGTGGGCGGGGGCGGGGCCTCGGGGCGGGCCTCACCGCAGTGCTGCTCGTCGGAGCCGTCGGAGCAGTCCCGGAGGCCGTCGCAGTGCTTGCTGGACGGGATGCACGTGCCGTTGGGGCAGCGGAAGCCGTTGCATTTCTTCTCTGCAAGGTGACGCGGCCAGGGCCCGTGATGGGGCGCCAGGGGGGGCGAGCACCCATCGGGGACCAAGCCCCCCCGCACGGCGCACAGAACCCGGAGCTGGCCCGTGGGTGGGAGTCTGGGAACCGCCCCGGGACACACGACGGGACCCCCAGCCTCCGGGCCTTGGCCACGGCCGCCGACACTGACGAGGTCAGAGCGTGTGCACGTACCACAGTTGACGGGGTCCTCGTCAGAGCCGTCCTGGCAGTCCATGTCCCCGTCACACGCCCATCGCTGGGGGATGCAGTGGCCATTGCGGCACTGGAAGTTGGAGGCCTCACAGGTGTGAGAGATGGCTGCGCGCAGAGAAGAGACCCCCATCAGCCCCACAGGGAAGAGACCCAGTCCACATAAATGCCACGTGATGGCTCACAGGTCAGGACCGGGGGCTTTCGGAGCAACAATCAAAGGTTCTGAGCACACAGCCACAAATAACCGATTCTGGCTCAGCCGCGTGGTGAATGCAGGTTGCGTTTCTCTGGGGAAAGGGGGTTCTGAGTGGAAAGACCCCCCCTTTCAGGGGGCAGTGGTTCCGCTGACTCCAGCCCTCCAGAGGGGTGGGGTACTGACCAGTGCACAAGGCTTCGTCCGACCAGTCCCTGCAGTCATTGTCGCCGTCACACACCCAGGACGCGCGGATGCACATCCCCGAGCTGCAGTTGAACTCGTCACTGCGGCACTGGTGCACCTCTGTGGAGACACACGGGCGTGAGGGGGCTCCCGTCCCCACCCCCATCCTGGCCCTGTCATTGTCTCCATTCCTGTCTCCAGTCCCTCATCATGGCTTCGCCAAAGCCCACGGGGGCAGTGGATCCCACCAGGACATAAGGTCCTCCAGGCCCAGCCCAGAGGACAGTCATAGACCCCGGGGCGCCAAGCCCGCCCCCCCACCCATTCTGGAGCAGCTGGGTTCATGGAAACCCACATACTGTGGAGCCTGCATGTTTGTATGCTAAGAAGGGGGAAGCTGAGGTGGCCCAGTCAGTGCTGAGGTAGAGGGGAGCTGAGGTCAGTGGGGATGGGGGAGCTGAGGTGATTCTGTCAGTGCTGAGGTGGGGGAAGCTGAGGTGGTCCTGTCAGTGGGGGGATGAAGGTGGTTGAGGTGGTCCTGTCAGTGCTGAGGTGGTCCTGTCAGTGCTGAGATGGAGGGCTAAAGTGGTCTTGTCAGTGAGGGATGGTGGGGTTGAGGTGGTCCTGTCATTTCTGAGGTGGGGGGAAGCTGAGGTGGTCTTGTCAGTGCTGAGGTTTAGGGAAACTGAGATAGTCCTGTCAGTGCTGAGGTGGGAGAGGGCTGAGGTGGTCCTGTCAGTGGGGGATGGTGGGGTTGAGGTGGCCCTGTCAGTGCTGGGGTGCACTTGTGGTGTGCCCATTCCAAAGCATTTCCTCCACCAGGGTCTGTAGGAAGAAGCACCCAGTGGGAGTCTGGCCGGCTCAGACGGGCACCAGTGGGGTGACCCTGAGCCTCCAGGTCTGGGTCTGTGTCCTGCTATTCTCACTTCCCACCTGACTCTGAACCCAGGTTCCGTGTCTCCCCACGTCTGCACCATCTGTGACCTGAGCAGCCTCTGGCTGAGATGCAGTGATGGGGCATCCCTCCCACCTGACATCGGTGTCCTTAAGAAGGGCCTTGACCTCTGGGGACTTCAAGCGGAAAGTCAAAGAACTGAGGCAGAGAAGGGAGAGAGAGAGAGAGAGAAAGAGAGAGAGAGAGAGAAAGAGAGAGAGAGAGAAAGAGAGAGAGAGAGAGTAGGGAGAGAGAAGAACGGGGAGAGAAGGAGGGGGAGAGAGAGAGAGAGAGAGAGAGAGAGAGAGAGGATGGGGGGAGCACACAAAGGCGCGAGAGGCACGAGTGTGTAGGAGCCGGACAACAGGGACCAGGTCAGACATGGCCCCAACAGGCGACAGCCCCCGGCCCTTACCACAGCGGCTCTCATCACTGTTGTCCCCACAGTCGTCCTCCAGGTCGCACTTGTAGGAGAGCGGGATGCACGTGCCCGAGTCTCGGCAGCGGAACTGGGTGTCCAGGTCGCACACGGTAGTGGCTGCAGAGGCAGGGGGGATGGCAGCTCCTAAGAGTGACCACCCCCAACACAAATGGCCCACTCTGGACAGTGGGGAAAAGCGGGGCTGTGGAGGTGGTACGGAGCATGGTGCTTCCCTCGACCGTGGCCAACCTGGGTTGGATTCCTGGCACTGCCAGGAGTGATCCCTGAGCACTGAACCAGCAGTGGCCCGAAAACCGAATGAAGAAAAGGGGGGGAAGGGGGAAAGACCCCAGAAGACGTCCCAGGGCTGAGCCCCACACTCAGTCATCCCTGGCGCCAGCTGAAACGATTGGGAAAGAGGCCGGAGTGACAGCCCAGTGGGGAGGGCACTGGCCTGGCATGCGGCTGGCCTGGGCGCAATCCCCAGCACCACTTACAGCCCCTGAGCCGGAGCCAGGAGTAAACACCGGGCACCGTCCACCAGGCCCCAAACCCAAGTGAAGAAACGGTCGCAACAGAAGTGACCTTGAGTCCAAACTCAGTCTCTCGTGGCCCTGGGGTCACTCCGTCCCAGAGAAAGGACGAGACAGGAAGTGGCCCAACTGGTCTGGTCTGGGGGACACGCCTTGCCCCAGAGCCCAGCACCCCTAAGGGAAGGTGGAGGAAATACCTCCAGTGGGCACTAGGGGGCAGCATGACCACTGAGACCTGGAGTGAGGTCCCAGCTGAGGCGGCTTAATGGGGGAACTTGGCGCAGGCCGCAGACAAGCGGCCACTGTCCCCCACCAGAGGCACGGGGGATCCGCCATCACTCTGTCCTATCCTCCTGGCACAGACCAGGGGCCTTAGGTAGTGGTTTGGGGATGGGGGATTCCGCTTGGGGGTCACCCCCAGGGGTGCTTGGGTGACCCTGCAAGCCAAGGGGAACCCCAAAACCCCCTCCCCACCCTCTCTGACACAGGCTCGTTCCCAGGATCTGCATCTGCCCCCTCTCCAGGCACAGTATGTGTGTCCAGCCATGCAAGGGCCCCGGGGCGCAGCTAGCACTCACGGCAGTTCCTCTCGTCACTCATGTCCCCGCAGTCATTGTCGGAGTCGCACTGCCAGATGGCGTTGATGCACTTCCCATTGCCACAGCGGTACTGGTTCCGCAGACACGCATCGTCTGGGCGCAGAAATGGGCACTCAGCAGCGCTGCCAGGACTGGCAGCCCGCCCCGAGACAGCCAGAGGGCAGGGGAAGGGCTGGCCACGGGAACAAGGCCGGTTGAGATCCCCACGGCAACCTTAGGCACCATCTACACAACCATGGGTGTAGACAGACACACGGCATGGTCTTCTAGCCAAAACTCTCCTTCCATAGCCTGAGGCTTCTGCCCCAGGGAAGCACGCGTTCCTGGGGACAGGGTCAGGACACGAGAGGCCACAGTGGTGCAGAACCTGGGAGAGCGAGCGCCCAGATCTGAGGACAGACGCGTCTATTTCTTCTCTCCTTATTTTATTTTATTTTTTCTTTGTGGATCACACCTGGTGATACTTGGGGGTTCCTCCTGGCCCTGCACTCAGGAATTACTCCTGCCGGTACTCAGGGGACCCTATGGGATGCCAGGGATCGAACTCAGGTCAGCCGGGTGCAAGGCAAACGCCCTGCCCGCTGGACTCTCACTCCGGCCCCTCTTCTCTTTTTGACGGGAGGCACTGGGGTTACCAGGTCCGTACTGGGCTCTGCTTAGGGAGGCATGCAGTGGGGACACCGAGCCCAGGTCTCACGAGCTGGGACCTGAAGCCCCGCCTAGGACTCCAGGGGGGTGGAGGCAGCCCCCCGGGGTCTTCCTTGCAGAAAGGCCCCTTCCTAGAGGCTCCGAGAGAGAGAACAGGAGCTGGGGGCTGGGCTGGGGTCAGGGCACCCTGGACAGGAAAAGGTGCGGAGGAGCAGAGAAGAAACTGGGCAGCTCAGATCCAGGGTAAGTGCAAAGCCCACCACAGTCCCTGGCCAGCGCGGGGACATGGGGAGAGAAGGGAAGGGTCTGTCCAGAGAAACCCAGAGGGGGGCCTGGCCTCCCCCTAGGTCAGGCTGGTGTGACCACGGAACTTGGGGAGGGGAGCAGAGAGGGCACAGGCCCAGGTCTGGGTTGCCCGAGGGAGGACGATGTCCACAAAGGAGTGGGCAGGTGGCCTGCCGAGCTGCAGGGCGGGGACAGCCGGGGAGGGGACTCACCTTCCTTGACGCAGGTGTTGTTGCTCAGCTGGTAGCCCCGTGGGCAGTCACACAGCAGCTCCCCCGACGGGAGGACGCGGCCAGACACCCCATCCGGGCACCTGCAGCTCCAGCTCTGGTTGGCCTTGGGCAGGCACAGCAGGCTACAGGGCCTGGACACACAGGCATTGCTCCCTGCAGGGGAGAGACGGCGCCCCCTGCTGGTCAGTGACAGTAGAGACAGCACCCCGTGCTGGCCAGTGACGATAGAGAGACAGCACCCCCTTCTGGTGAGTGACGGTAGGGACACCGCCCCCTACTGGTGAGTGAAGGTAGAGACATCGTCCCTGCTGGTGGGCGAGGACAGAGAGGCTTCACCGCCACCCCCCCCCTCCCCGCTGGTGTGCAAAGGAAGAGAAACACCGCCCCCTGCTGGTGGGTAAATGCTGGCCACTCTCCAGCCTGTCCTTTTGATCTGGCTCTCCAAAGATAGTTCGACATCCCTGAGCCAACTCTTGGGAAAGAATCTCTGTGGATGGCAGTGATGGGGGGATCTCTTGGCCCCATGTCTTTCTGGGATGGACACGGGAGAGGGGACATGAACCTGCCTGCCACAGCCAGAAGTCTAGCATCGCCCTTGGGCATGGAAGACTCAGGGCTGTGCAGTGGGTGTTTTCTCTATGCTGGGGCTATGCCAGGCAGCCCTGAGTATCCTGGTCACACCCCCTCCACCCTCATCCTGACTACGGGATGGGGGGGAGGGGGAAACACTCTTAATGAGTGAGGTGACAGAGTGGCCACCAGCTCTGGGTGTGCTGGCACCTTGCCATGTACAGTTGCCACGGGCAGAAAAAGAACTCCAGAGGCCTGAGAGAGTCCAGCGGAGGGCGCGTGCCTTACACACAGCCAACAGCAGAGGGCGCTCGCCTTACACGCAGCCTACACGGGTTCATTCCCCAGTGATGCCTGCGGTTCCCTGAGCCCCACCAGGAGTGCAGAGCTAGGAGTAAGCCCTGAGTACCACTGCCTGTGGCCCCCAAAACATTAAGATGAAAAGTGCCTTTCTTAGCTTTAAATAATAAATTAACCCCCTATGGTACAAAGGAGCAGAGCAAAGCGAGTGATGGGGAGGTCCGGGTAGGCAGGGAAGAGCCTGATTACCCCCTAAAAGCCGAATCACCACACGGAAAACAACAATAACAAAAACAAAACAAAACCCCAGGGATGGGCAGCAGAAATGGCACTTCAGCCCGCTGTGTGCAGTGAGCAGAGGCTGCTTCATCATGTCCGGAACGAGGCTCTGGGGGACCTGGAACCATCACTGAGGAGAGACATCCCCGAAGGCCCAAATATGTGCTTGGAACTCAAAGTGCAGCTTAGCACCCAGCGTGCCCAGAAACGGGACCATGACAGACCGTTTCCAAAGCACCCAGCTCGGGGCAGCTCTTGAAATAAAATACCGTCAGTGATATTGCCGCCACTTCCAGGAATATACCCCCCAGGGGTCCAGCAACACAGCAGAAATGCCATCTGCACACCTATGTTCACTGCAGCATGGGACACAGATGTTCTATGGCACAACTTCACAACGGAATACTACACAGCCATTAGGGGAAAATGAAGTCATGAAGTTTGCTGATACGTGGATGGTCATGGAGAGTATCACGCGGAGTGGAGAGAGACAGGCATAGAATGATAACACTCATTTGTGGAATATAAAAAAACATAGTTTCAGTTGCCCCCCGCGAGCGGCTCTCCAGCACAGCCACGGCCCCAGAAGCACAAGGACTTAATGCAGAACCCGGCTGCTTGGAGCAGAAAAGTGAACGGACTATGCGTTAATCCAGGCCATCAGGTCTGTCCGGAGGGGAAAGGGTGTTGCCCCAGTCGCCTTCTCCTCTCTGGAAAGAAAGATGGCGGCCGCATGGGAGCCTTGTGGACAGCAGGTATGAGCCGGGGGACTGGGGGCGACTAAAACCTCATGGGAAGGGGGGCGTTTCGGTCCGCCCTTCACGCCCTACCGAGGCCACCAGTTGCCCCCCACTAGCGGCTCTCCAGCATGGCCACGTCTCCAGTGCACAGAAACCAATTTCTTAACTATCTGACTTTCAGTAGAAATACTTCCAGGGTCAATAAGTAAAATAGCAGAAATCCAAAACCAACATTTAATTCTTGAACCCAGCTGTAGAAAGCAAATCACTTCACAATGCTTTTTCAGCATGTCTGATTGGGGGGGGGGGGGGGTAAACTCTAAATAATAGTGGTGAATCTTTTATTGAAACAATGAATCTAATCAAAACAGATAGAGTGTTAACTAGAATTCATCTGCCTCACAGGGACGGGGAGGGGTGGGGGGTGGGGTTTTATTGGGGTTCTTCATGGTAAAAAATAAGTTTTGGTAAAGGGAAATGTGTTTGATATTTGCATGACTGAGACCTAAACCTGAAAGCTTTGTAACCTTTCCCACAGTGATTCAATAAAGAAATAAAAAAAATAATAAGGTAAAGGCCCTCCCGTTGATCGTCGATTTGCTCGAGCGGGCCCAGTAACGTCTCCATTGGAGACTTTGTTGTTACTGTGTCTGGCATATCCAATACTCTCGGTAGCTTGCCGGGCTCTCCGAGAGGGGCGGAGGAATCGAACTCGGGTCGGCCATGTTGGCTGCGTGCAAGGCAGACGCCCTACCCGCTGTGCTATCGCTCCAGCCCGTAAAAAAAGTAAATAAATTTTTAAAACTTTAAATAACATCAGTGAGATAACAGGACTGCACTGCCAGCCTCACCAGTGGAGCAAACGCTGCCGCCTACCCAGGCGCCCCACGGATCAGAACCCCAAACGAAGTGTTGCACAGCAGATGAGGGGTGTCTCAGGACCCGGACCCCTGAGACACAGTCCCAGGGCAGAGCAGGGGTATCCAGACTGCCTCGAAGTCACAACGTGGAAGGAGGGGGTGTCAGGTCCCGAGAACCTGGAAGGGCTCCCAGGAGCCCCCAGCAAGTCCAGGCCCAGGACAGGACCACAGCCCGTGTCCCGGGAACTGGCCTGCATGCAGCGATCACCACTCCGGAGAAGCACAGAGCCAGAAGCCGTCTCCAAGGGCGGCCCCTCGGGGAGGGACAGACCCAGGATCACGCAGGACAGACCCTGCTCCCCTCTTTGGAAAACTCCTCCAGAACTAGGGAAGGCGCCAAACAGCCGTTATCTCGCTTCAGTATCTATCCCCTTGACAAGTAGCAAAATCAATCCATGCCATATGATGCATGTATGAAGGTGTCTGCTATTATTACAAATGCGCAAACACGTGCTTACAGCGGGTGTTGAAAGGGAACCCCAAGAGCTCCGAAATAGCTTAATCCTTCTCGGGATCAGCTGAGTCAAGCATCAGCCATGCCAAGCAACCCTCTATCAAGGAAAAATGTTCTTGGGGCTGAGCTAGATCCCCGGCATCCCATATTGTTTCCCTGAGCACCGCCAGAAGAGAATCCTCAGGACAGAGCCAGGAGCAACCCCTAAGCACTGCCGGGTGCTGTGACCCAAAAATAAAACCAAAAAAAAATAAAGGAAAAAATAAATTCTTTATGAAGAATCCGTTCCCATGCCACTATGGGAAAACCAGCCAGGTACAAGAGTAAGGAACGCACCTGTACACAACCAAGAGTTTCAGACTAACAGCTGGGCCTGGGAACAAGGCCGTGTCTGGACAGGAACCGTTCAGATGCCCCGTTCCACTGGGTCTGGGGTCCTACTGACGTTCTGGTCGGCTCCCTAGCTGCCTGAGTCTAACCCAGGCTGCAGGGCATCCGAGCACCGGGTTCCACGGCCAGCCCCAATTCCCAACCCTGAGCTCTCCGGCTCCATGCTGGAACTTGGTGATTGTCAACAGCAGCGTCTGCAGGCCCAGGGTGCTATTTAACCCAGCAGGGATGAGAACATCTGTCTGCAGGGGGGAGGTCAGTAAGTCAGTGGGCCGACTCTGTCCTGCAGGCCTCTCCGGGCTGAGATCGAACCAGGGCCTGGAGCCCAGAGCCTTCCACCTCCTGACCCCTCTGCCAACAATCCTTGAAGCAGCTCCCATCTACACCCGCCAGTGATTCTCCCCAGATGCGCTGTGAGTACCTCCTGGCACACGCGAGCAGCCGTGAGAGCATCTGCCTGGCACTGCAGCCCCCACACGACACCCCAGGACATGGGCAAGCCATGGAGATCACAGAGGGAGGGAAAACAAGGCCCAGCCGCCGAGAGCGGAGGGGGACGTCTCCCTGTGTGGCTCCCACATTCAGCTCAGTGACTGGATCCTTCACGGCACCGGGAGAGGAGGATGCTATACAGGTCACGAGTCCCGGAGACAAGCAGAGACAGACCCGGGGCTGGCAGCAGGTGCAGTCCACTCCCGAAAGCTGGCCCACACCAGACCACCCATGAGGAAGGGGCGGAGGGCAGGAGCGGGGTGGAATCAGCCACCGGCGTGCGGCACTCGGCAGCAGGCACGCTCACGTCGCCTGCCAGCTGCTTGTGTGTCATTAGAAAGGAAATTAAGATGTCATTAGGAAGAAATTAAATAATGTGCGTGTTGTCGTGGCAATGAGGGCGCAGACTGCCAGCTCCCGCGAGGAGCAGAGGCCGCCCCCAGGCTTACCGCGGGTCTTGCCCTTGTAGAAGATCTTCATGTCCATGAGCCCCGTGAGCTGCCCAGCCAGCACTGCCGTCTCTGACCCGCTGTACTTGGAGGCACGGAAGATGCTGAGCTGGGACCAGTCGTCCCAGTAGATTTCGTTCTGGAAAACAAAGCCCTGGCGTCAAGCTGACAGCCGCCACACACACAGGCCAGAGCAAGTGTCGGTGCCCCAGGAGCGGCCCAGTCAGTGTCCCTCTTGGATGCGGTGGTCGGGACTTTTGTCCCAAACCTTCCCCAATGGCCACACTTGAGGAATCACCCATAAGAAACCACGCAGTGGGACCTCAAGGCCAACCATGTGGCATGCATTCAAGGCCGACCAAGTAAGGCAGGTTCAAGGTCAACCATGTGATGGAGTTCAAGGTTAATCCCACACATATTCAAGGTTGACCCTGCTCCCTTGGGAACACAGGACGGGGCCGGGGGGGCTCACCTTACCTCCCAGGAAAAGCACGAGGAATCCCACAAGAGACCATGACAAGAGGCAGGAAGGTCCTGATGCTCAGGGACGCATAGGACTTCTCATGGGAAGTCCCCTGGACCCGAACACCCTGGGGTGCACCCCGGACCCTTTGCTAGGCACCCCACATGGGCCGAAAAGATTGTCTTGAATTCAGAGACCAGCCGATTTTTTAGAAATTGGACATGCGTCTCCAGAGACGCAGGTGCAGAAGTGGCCCAGCAAGGGTCCAGGGCACCCACCTTGAAGACGGCAATGGCGTAAGGGTGCGGGAGATTGTCCAGGATGACGGAGCGCTGCTGGCCGCTGAAAGCCACCCGCTCGATGCAGTCCAGGTAGGCGTCAGTCCAGTAGACCCACTGGTCGTCCACTGTGATGCCGTTGGGCCACTTGACATCCTCAGACACCAGCCGGAACACGCCGGAGCCGTCCATGTGGCTGCGGTAGATGCCCGGCCTCACATCGCCCCAGTCGGTCCAGAACATGATTCTGCTCAGAGGGCCAGAACACGCGTCTGTCAGCCCGCCACCCTGCACTGGGACACCCCCAGGAATGACCACAGCCAGCTACAGGCAGGGGGAGGGCCTGGGACTGCATCTGTGGCTGTGAACCCCACGAGTCTGTGACCCGGCCGGGCAGAGCACCAGAATACACACTGCTTATGAGCCCAGGACACTCATCCCAAGGCACATGCACGCGCACGCACACACACACACACACACACGTGCATGTGCATACATACACCCGCACATGCATGCACACATGTGCACACACATGCATGCATACACATGCATGCATACACATGCACTCACACACATGCACGCATGCACATCTGCGCACATGTGCACACACATGCATGCATACACATGCATGCATACACATGCACTCACACACATGCACGCATGCACATCTGCGCACAAAGGCACACGTACATGCATGCACTCACATGCATTTACACACACATGCACACGTGCACACACAGGCATACACACACGTGCACATGCACACATGCACACATGCACACAAACAGCAACCCACAGGGCCAGGGCGCCACAGGGAACATATAGAACAGTAGGAGGAAGCCAAACAGCCACGTGTGCTCCCGGGAAATGATCTTCAACACACGCGACATTGTTCAAAAGCAACAGGAGCAGGGCTGTGGGGGCCCAGGCGGCCCTCTTGGAGCCCCGATTTCCAGTCACAGCACCACCTAGTCTCCCCAAGTGCAGAGCCAGCCAGACCCAGCACAATCCTAGGCTTCAGTAAGGACTTCAGGGTGCAGACGATGGGGGCGGGTGGGGCTGGAGGGGCCACCAGGAGTGTGGGGAGGAGTGACCTCAGTTGGGCACTGTGTCTAGGAAAGCACAGACTCTCAGCCCATTTCCGGTCCAGCCGAGGGGTCCGCTGTGACACTCACCCCTCGCCCGGCAGCAGCACAAGCGCCCGGGGCCGGTCGAGCACGGAGGCATTGAGCAGCGTGAGCCGGAAGTCACCATCCGGATTGGCCACCTGAGATGGAGGGGCAGGGGGTGCCCATGATGGTGAGCCCATGAAAGGCTCCCCTCACCCGCACAGCTCACAGACCTGGCAGGGCTGACCTCCCCCAGTGGCCCCTGGGCAATGGCGCTGAGACCCACCCCCTCACCTCCTTCCTTCTCCAGCCTCTCCCCCCTCGGGAACTCCCCAGAAAACTCGGACGTGCCGGGTCCACGCCCACTACCCTGCTGCCCCCAGACCCAGGACAGGGCGAGAGACCACGCACCTCGATCTTCTTAAAGCCCGCGTCCACCCAGTACAGCAGCTGGCTGAGAGGGTCCAAGGCCAGTGCCTCAACGGTCTCCAGGCCGGAGCTGATGATAACTTCCTGTCCTGAGCTCCCATTCAAGCACAGGCGCTGGGAGGAGGTAGAGGGGAGGGAGCAGTGGGTGTCCCTGGACTCATTTCTGAGGTGCCCAAGCAGCTCAGTCCTGTCTGCAACTCAACAAGACCCCCAGGGACACCAGTTACAGCATCACACCCCGACAGGACACCCCAGCCCAGGCTTCCGGTGTGAATGAAACTAGCTGTTCTTAGCCCCGGGTTCTGCCCATTCCAGTCTCTCCTCTTCAGAGACAGATGCTCCAAGCACTTGGCTACTGGTGCCTGTGGGGACAGTGGCCTTGACGTCACCCCCTCCCTCACACACCCAGACGGTAGAGTCTCTGTCGAGTTCATGTGGTGCTTGGAGGACGGAGATAGTGCAGCAAGGAAGGCACTTCGGCTCACATGGTGCAGACCCCAGTTCCATCCCTCTGGAGACACCGGATGGTCTCCTGTGCACCGATGGGTATGACCCGCCCCCCCCCCCCCAAAGAAGAACCACTTGTCGCCTCTGCTTCCCTAAATGAATGCGATGGACCATGGGGAAAGTACCAACAGCTGCCCAGTATTCATTTCCGGGGGCCACACCTGCAGTGCTCAGAGACTCTGCCCAGCTCCGTGCTCGGGGGCTGTGCCTGGCGGTGCTGGGGGTGGAACCAGGACCCACACTCCCGCCACCTGCACAGTATGTTCCCAGCCCTCGCTGCCCCCTCACAGTTCCGCTCTCAAACACACGGGTTGGGGGTTCCGTGTATGCAGCTTGCGGGCCGCGCGGGAATCGACTCACTTCGTGGCTTTTGACTGGGCTACCGGGATGAGACCCACAAAGTGGATCACCATAGGAGCCTGGAGAAGGCAAGCCTCGCTGGATCCCCCTCAGGGGTAGGGATGCAAAGTGACCACGGACACGGCAGGAAGCAGGAACTGCTCCGGGTACCTGCGTCTCCCATCTTTCCGGCGGGCGAGGAGACCCCCTCTACAGCCCCCTTGGCCCTCTGGGCGGCAGCAAGACCAGCAGGAGCAGAGAAGCTCACCCAATGACTCCATGACCCACCCTCCACCCGACGCAGGCCTGGACGCCTGAGAAGGTGGGATGACGTTGGGGGGCAGGGGGGTGTCCCAGCCCCCAGAGCCCCACCTGGATGAGGTCCAGGGCCAAGTCAGACCAGTACAGGCAGTTGCGCTCGTAGTCGAAGTCCAGGGCCACGGCGGCCCGCAGCCCAGTCAGCGGCAGCTGCTCTGTGGCGCCCGAGGCCAGGTCGTAGCGGTGGATGGACTTGCGCGTGGCGTACAGGATGAACTCGTTCTCCTCTGCAAGACGCACAAGGCTGTACTGGCGGCGGGGACCCCGATTCCCAGAGACTTCCCCACAGCACCCCAGGCGGCCTTGGCTGATCGGCCACTCTCTTCTCTCTCGTCCCCCCCTCCCCACCCCCTGGAGTGATGCCTGAAGTCCTGTCCTTGTCCGTGCAGCCAACAGTCCTGGAGCATCTGAGCAGACTGCCACTAGCCAGCCCACGAAACCACTGTCCCTGCAGGCTGGTCCCCAAGGGTCCGAATCCCTTTCCCCACCCACTGCCCGGCACTTGCAGCAAGTGAGGACACAGTGACCGCTGCCCCATAGCTGCGTTCTTTGGGGTTTGAGTTTTGTTGGGGGCCACACCCGGATGAGGTTGCCGAGGTTTACTTCTTTTGGGGGGTTGAGATTGGCGCTGCTCATGGCTGACTCCTGGCTCTGTGCTCAGGGGCCACTCCAAGAGGGGCCCCGGGGACCCTATGGGACGCCAGGAGCCAAACCCGAGTTAGCTGCACGCATGGCCAAGTGTCCGACCGCTGTGCTCTCACTCTCTCTGGCCCCCAAAGGGCTCACTCCTGGCTCTGTGCTCAGGGACCCCTCCTGATGGGGCTCGAGGGATGATGCAGGGTTCCAGGAATCAAACCCAGCTCGGCCCCAAACCAGGCAACCACCTTACCCACTCCAGCCCCACACACACGTTCTCGACTGCGTACAAAATGTTCCAGTGGAACCACCAAGCCACAGATCCATGCCAGCATCCTAAGGGCTGGCACGGACTCACGCCACGGGCCATGGAGAACCACGAGGAACCTAATCACACAAATGGGGCAGGCAGGGATGCACCCGGGGTCACGGGGGGCAGTGGTGGCAGCAAGGTTCCAGACTCAGGCTGCCCGAACCACTGCACGCGTTTTCCCGTTATCCTGAACTGCCTGTGCTGACTGAGACATGGAGGCTGTGGACTTTCAGGGTCCCGGGCTGAGGAGACCCCTTGGACCCCAGAGCGCTGACTCTGCTGAAGGCAAGAGGGAGCCCCTGCTGGCAGCTGAATCCCCCAGAGAAGGGGCCCCCGAGGCCACACACCTGCAGAACGGACCTTTCCAATGCCTCGTGAATGACCTGCACCAGCCTCCTGATTTCTAGGGAGCACCCCAGATAACTGCACTTTGGGAGGGAGGTCTGGGGGTGACATCACATGGTACTAGCGGTACTCCCGGCTCTGGGCCCTAGGGATATTCCTGTGGCGTTTGGGGGACTTTTCTGGGGCCAGCTGCATGCAAAGGGAGCACCTTAACCCCTTTTTCTGTGACCAGTTGCATAAGTTAGGGGAGGTGTTTTATCTTTGTCTTTTCTTTTTTTGATTTTGTTGTTGTTATTCTTGTTGTTGTTGTTGGGCTACATTGAAGATGCTCAGGGCTGATTCCCGGCTCTACCGTGCCCAGGGATCACTCCTGGTGGTACCCAGAGGACATGTGCAGTGCCAGGGAACTGAACTGGAGTCAACCACATCCCAGTCCCTTAACCTCTGCACTATCTTTCTGGCCTCAACTGTATTTGGGGGTGGCGGGGGTGGGGGGGACTCAAAGGGCTGGTGCTGAGGAGGCCCCACCCAGTGTTGCTCAGGGCTGACTCCTGGCTCTGAGCTCAGGGATCCCTCTTGGTGAGGCCGGCGGGGGGGACCCTATGGGGTGCGGGGGATGAAACCCAGGTAGCACGTAAGGTCCACACTTACCCACCGTACTAGCTCTCTGGCCCCACCTATAACTTTAAATCGCAGTCAGCTTGACATCCATTTCTTTGGTTTCACCTCAGGTCAAAATTACCCAAGAAAGCACCACATAACAGTGAAGCTTGCCTCCCTCTGAGTTTTTCCAGAAGCTTCCCATGGCAATCCCCAGCAATGGGGGGGTGAGGGGGGCAGTGGGAGTGACCAGGGCGTGTCTCTGCAGAGACACAGGCAGAACAAGCCCTTCTCCCCAGCATCTCAGCCTCCTTCCGCTGCTCCGGTCACTTCCAGCCAACAAAGGGCTTCACCCAGCAGCCCGGGGCCAGAGCGGCGCCCACCTTAAGTTGAGGGTCAGGTGGCACGTGGTGGCTCTCGGTGCCATCCTTGGCACAGGCACACAGTTCTCAGCCCAGCCCTATGGGGCACCACGCAGGAGTCGGGATATCCCGGGGATCACAGAGGAAGGACAGTGACTTTACTCCTCCAAAGGCCCGTGTGGGACCCTGAGCACCGCCAGGAGTGAGTCCTGAGTGCAGAGCCAGGAGTGACCCCTCACACTGCTTGGGTGTGCCCCTCCCCACCGCCAATAAAACACACAAAAACAAATAAACAAAAAGTACTGTGCAAAGAGTGCGGGAGAAAAGCAGGTGAGCAAGTGTGAGTGTGGGACCAGGTCATTGGATCTCCCAGGGTACCCCCCGCCCATGAGCCTGAGTGACCCCTGAGAACCACTTGAGAGGACCCACTCCCCCCAAACAGTGCTCTACAGAGGCCAGGAACAGAGCTCCTAGGCCCAGAGAGATGCTCGTGTGTACAGGCCCCCACATCACCTGGGCACAGTCCAGCCCTGGTGCCACCCCGCCCTGCCAAACCCCAGCAGTGCCCCCCATCTCTAGGCCATACACAGTCAGGCTGGCTATGACCGGTGGCGGGGGAGGGGGATCCAGCCCCCAGGACTGTCCTGAGTTGGGCCCACCCAGCACGCGCCCCCTAGCGGCCACGGGCGGCCCCTCCTGGAGCTGGGCAGGGAGCAGAGTGGTGCCTCACTGTCCACCTGCCTCTCCCCCGGGGGCCAGGGCCAACTCCTGGGCGCCGTGGGGGAGGCCCTCGCGGTGACCTGGGTGGGAGGCGTCTGCTCCTACCTGCCAGGGGGCACGGGACCACCTCGCCCTCCAGGCGTGCTTCCACATCTCCTCCACTGCAGGTGTCCCCAGAGATCTTCCGGTACCTGCCGCCCCACCGAGGGCCAGAGGGCAGAAGCAGGGTCACCGGGGGGCACGTCCCGGGTAAGCGTGTCCCAGCCTACCCGAGCCGAGGCCTCACCCGTGTCAGCTTCACACCAGGAGCAGCGAGACTCGGGCAAGTGGGCTCAGAGTCCACCGGCGCCCCGACACCCACCCGGGAAAGGCCCCGGCTGACCCCTCCGGCCTCGACACGGGGACCCCATGAGATGTACCCTCTGGTCCTCTTGTAGGTGGAGCCCACGGGGCAAGGCACGGGTGGGGACGAGGCCTTCGCGGAGAACTCAGGGTCTGGAACACAGACCTCCAGGGACAAGTCTCCGCTCATCTTAAAGCCGAAGTCACTGCAGAGAACAAAGGGGTGTGAGTGGGGCACGAGATGAGGGGGATCCTCACTTCCCATACCCCAGCCCCTCCCCCAGGCCCCGTATGTGCAGAATGCCCATGATCATTCCGGCCCGCTAGCTCCTGTCCTCAGGCTTCCCAAGGCAGAAGGCCCGCATCACCTGCCCGTGCTCCAAACCGGAACATTCCAGCCAGCAAGGCCATGACCCCACCCCAAGACCCTCCATCTGCCCCTCCCTGGGCCATGGGATCAGCCAACGGGCAGAGTCGCATTAGGGATGGCTCGGACCCGCAAAGTGATGGGAGAAGCCAACACAAATCTCCTCGACGCCTTGCTCTCTTGCTCCGTGTCCACCATCGGCCATGTCCACGATTGGGCCATGTCTACCCACCACCCAGATCCCCCCGGGCCCAAGGCCTGCGCTTCTTCCGTTTGGGACGTGAGCCCAGCAGACGCCTATAAGTCTTTTCCCACTGGAGAAACAAAGTCCTTCTAGAACAAAGCCTCACACACAAGGGCCCCCTCGCCGGGCTCCTGCTGCCCGCGCTGTCCGGAACCCAGACCTCTCTGGTCCTGAGTCGTGACCTCCAACTCCAGAGTCCCAGCCCCGCCCCCACCCACAGCTCTAAGAACTAACGGGAGCACAGATGCCCCACGCATCTCAGGCTACCTGACCCACTGTCCCTTCATGGGGCCATGGCCGCTCCTGGTGCCCCCATAGCCCAGGCAGAACCCCACAGAACCCACCACTCATAGTCCTCACGGGTGCAGGAGCAGTTGGCCACCACCACGGGCCGATCAAAGTCTTCGCCGTTGAAGCACGTGGCGTGTGGGGTGCGGCGCTTGAAGACCGTCTTGTGCCCCAGCAAACACTCGTTGCCCCGCTCATCGGAGGGGGACCACAGCTTGTAGTCGTTCTCGGTGCAGGGGACCCCTGCAGGGCGGAGACCGCGGGACTTGTGACCAAGTGACCGGCCCTGTCCCTCCACTTTCTGCAAAGGGCATATGGGGCTGGACTCCTCAGTGGGCAGGAGGGGAGAGTGGCACCAAGACATGGACATCTGGGGGGTCTAGAGCTGACTGGGGGTCACGCTGAGATCTTCGGCAGCTCTGGGTGCCCCCCACCTCCGCAGCACTGTACCCCCTTTCTGTTTTGGGGGTTGGAACAACGGATTCAGAAAAACGCTTTTCATGCACACATTCCCACGCATGCCAATAGGCACGCAGGGAGCACGCGGGCCTCGGGGCGGTGGGCACTCACCCAAAGCGTCCGTGGCGTTGATCTGGAGGATGAGCCAGCTGTGGGCGTTCTCCTTGTTGGAGCCGAAGACTGTGAAGACGGCGCTCTTCTCCCCGGGCTCCGTGAGCAGCCCGTACACGAACACCGGCTGCTCGGAGAACACCGAGGTCTTCCAGGTCTCGCCCTCGTTGGTGCTGTACCTGCCCGGACACAAGGGGGAGGCCCACGGGGCTAGCATGGCCAGGCCAGGGCTGGGCTTCCTGATAATCAGCCGGGCACCACTGAGACTCACGCAGGCATGCTGGGGTCTAAAGCGCCCGGCTAGTGGAAGTGGCACCTGCAGCCAGCTCCGGAGGGCCCTGATTGGCCAGCAGGTGCTGGTAGGGATTCTCCACGGAATGAAAACAGAGTCAAGCTCTCGCTGTGATGCTAAGAGGGAGAGAGAGGGGAGCAGGGAAGCTCCCCACTCCCCTCAGAACAGGCCTAAGAAATGTTGGAAATCACGGCAGACTGGGAGAGAGCAATGCCTGTTCCCTAACGCTCGCGACAGTCACAAGTCAGATGTGAAAACTTCTGGGTACAAGGCAGGACACACACACACACACACACACACACACACACACACACACACACACTGACCTCCCCCGTTCCCACCACATGGTGCGTGCGGCCAGCAAGGCAGATGCCTCATGCGGACGACCTGAGACTCTCAGCCTGCAAACCAGAGTCCCTCACCTTGAGACAGGAGCCGCCTGGACCAAGCACAGACAGAGCATGGCGCAGCCCCTCTGCTTGGCTGGGCCCAGGCCCTAACCCCCGGGCCCGGGGCTGCAGCCTTCAAAAAGAGAATCAATACCACAAAAACCAAAATAGGCAGAAGCCTCCTCAGAGACTGAGTTTAACCCGTGCATATCAGCACCGAGTGCCACCGGGAAAAGAAACAGCTTCCTGGACCCTCGACTTTAGGAAGAAAGCAGCTCTAAATTGTTACAGAGGGCAACTGAGGCGAAGCCATCAGCCCGAAGTATCGACAAATTCACCTTTGTTCCCCCCCCCCTTTTTTTTAGTTCGATGGTGGGGGTGTTGTTTGGGCCACACCTGACAGTGTCAGGGCAGTACTCCCAGTTGGTGCTCAGCAGTGCTCAGCACTGCTCAGGGAACCATATGTGGTCTTGGGGATCAGGCCAGGCCCACATAAAGACCCCAACCTGCCACATGCTTGACCCTAAGCCAGTGACCTCACTTCCTTTCCCGTGGCCCTGAGCTTAGACTTAAAAATGGAATCAACTCTTTCAGGGCATGTTGGAGATGTTTCTGGGGCTGATGGCTCAGAGGTTACAAGTGACATCACGGGCAGTCATAGGGGACTCGGGGACAGCAACGGATCTTGGGAAGAGGAGGAATTCCCCATGGCTCACGCAGGCATTGAGATGACGCTAATTTTGATACCGACGGGGTTGGGGAAGGGGGGAGAAGCGAACTCTCCTGCGTCATCGTCCATCTCCTGGATCCAACAGAGGCCTCTTACCCAGACAGGACAGGCGTGAGCTGCCTGCTCTGGAGAATTCTGGAAGTCTCTCTACTCCCATACTGCCTCATTAATTCTATGCATTATGAGCTCCTCGAACCTCAGAACTTCTAAACATTGGGGCTGGAGCAATAGCACAGCGAGTCGGGTGTTTGTTTGCCTTGCATGCGGTCGACCCGGGTTCGATTCCCAACATCCCAGATGGTCCCCCGAGCACTGCCAGGAGTAATTCCTGAGTGCATGAGCCAGGAGTAACCCCTGTGCATCACTGGGTGTGACGCAAAAAGCAAAAAAGGGAAAAAGAACAAGAACTTCTGAACATGAATCAACATTGCTGCTCCCCAAAGCTCCCGGAGGCAGCTGCCAGGAAGATGTGAATGACGCTGAGGCGTGGGGGGCCAGGCACGAGGTCCCCGGGCACAGTCCTCATATTTAGGGAACCGGGCTATTTCAGAACTGCCAGCGAGGTGCAGTCACACTACCAGCAACGGGTGAGAAGGCAACAGTGATTCTGGTGAGAGCAGCCGGGCATGACGTGAGCCGAGCCAAACCAGAATCCACCGCCTGCCCCTGATTGGAGCAGTGACTCCCTCCTCCACCCCCTCCCCCCCCCCCCCCCCGCCACTCAGCCCCCACAGTGCTAGAGGCGCTGCTGACGTTCCTCTACTTGGCTGTCCTCCTGCAGGAAGCTCTCCTCAGGAGGGCCAGAGAGAGAGCACAGTGGGCAGGGCGCTGGCTTTGCACTGGACAACCGAGGTTCCATCCCCAGCGCCCCATATTGTCCCCACCAGGAGTGATCCCTGAGTGCAGGGCCAGGAGTAAGCCCTGAAAGTGGCTAGGTGTGGCCCCCAAACCAAAGACAAACTTCCATCAGAAACAAGCCCGTCCCTCGCCTCCGCCCGCCGCCTCCCAAGCAGACCAGAGAGACCTGGAATGCGCCCACCTCTGCATCCGTGGTGGGCGCACAGGAAGGCTGGTATGCCCACGGGAAATGATGCCTCGTGTCCAGCCGGGACCCCAAGGAGGGCCAGGGGTCTCCTGGGCACCCCCACTCAACGTCTGAGCGCCAGCATTCATCACCTCCCTGGAGCCCAGCAGCCCTTCCCGTTTCGGAAACGAGCACACAAGGGCGGCCTGAGGAGACTGAGCATGGCCCAGTTACTCAGCGACCCGACAGCTCCTAATTGCCGGCACAGAAATTCTTGCCTCCGGTGACCTTGCAAACCAGCCGAGGATTGAGGCCATAATGAAACAGTGGCAAAACCGCGGCCAGTGTATGAAGGAAACTGAATTGGTGAGGCAGGTGCTACGTGAAGGCTGTGAGGGGAACTCACAGGAACGTGTGTGTCTGTGTGTGTGTCTGTGTGCGTGTGCACACGAATGCACATGTGTGCGTGTGCTTATGTTTTTGTGTACGTGTGCGTGTGTGTACGTGTGAGTGTGTGCACAATGTGTACGTGTGTGCATAGACATGCATGAGGGTATGTGATGTGTCTGCATGTGCAAGCACAAGTGTGCATGCAAATGTGCGTGTGTATATGTGAGTGCATGCAAGTGTCTGTGTGTGCATGTGCGCAGGGATGTGCGCATGTACACACACGCAGATATATGCAAGCGTTCACGTGTGTGTATGTGCACATACATGTGTACATGTATGAGTGCGTGCGTGATGTGCATGCATGCACATAGTACACACATGCACACTCACGTGTACACGAGTGTGCATGAGTGTGTGCCTGTGTGTACATGCATGTATGTGTGTGTGCACACGTAGAAAGGGCCTGAAAAGGAACCACGTGCACACCAGTCTGCTCCCCTCCTTGTGGGAGAGGAGACGGTGGCAGCTCTGAGCACAGCCCAGGGAGGGGACAAACCACCCGGCCCTGTGGGCTGCCAGCCGTGGGCATGCCAGGCGCTGACCACACAGGTGGGAGCAAGCCTGGACAGGCACGGTGACAGACAGCTGCCTGGGAGGCTGGTGTGATCTTGACATGACTGGGATTCCCATGCAGAGGCCCCCAAGGGCGCACCCAGGCGGAGGCATGCAGGAGAGGGGCGGTGGTCTGGGCGAGGCTGGTTCTACCCTGCACGTCTCGCTCCTGTTTGCGGCTGTGTCCCGGGCAGCGCGGGCACCAACAGATGGCCTCAGAGGACCGGAGTCCTGCTCGGCATGGCCAGGCGCCAACTGGGCATGCTGACGTGAGCGGCACCACACAGGCAGCTGCCATTGGCTCAAGCCTCCAGAGAGGGGCGTGCAGCCCGGACCTGTCAGGCTCCTCAGGCAGCCTATCCCAAGGACCCTGTTCCCTCCCATCCAACAACCAGAACACAGCCGGTGGTGGTGGTGGTGGTGGTGGTGTGGGGCTGGTGGGGCTCAGGACTTACTCCTGCACTCAGGGATCACTCCTGGCAGGGCTCAAGGTCCCATCTGGGGTGTCAGGGCAAGCGACCCTCCTGCTGTAACCCGCCCCCCGCCCCAGTCCCGCCAACCCAAACTGGAGCTCCTTAAAGCGTCAATCCAGTTCTGGCCTTGGGAGACGGCGGCCGCCCCTCCTCCACCCCCACCCCCACTGCTCAGGCCCTGCGGCTGAGCCGCTCCTCACAGCAACGCCTCGACTTCACCTGCAGGGCCTGATGCCCGCTGCATGGGCAAAGCCCTGGCAGTGACTTCTCCAGGTCACCAACCGTGCTGAGTGAGGACACGCACTTCAGATCCCCGACCGGCAGCCCACAGTGCAGGCGTCACTGACACTTACTTCAGCTCGTTGGTCTCTGTGCCCTGCGCAATGGCCATGATGATGCCGCCGTGGTCGCCCCAAGTGTAGTAGTGGGGCCCAGGGAGTGCCTGGGAAGGAGGAGGCAGGGATGAAGCTACTGCCAGGACAGCAACTGTGCGCCCCCCCCACACACACACACACCACACATGGTGACATGGAAGGAACCATGTACCACACCTCCCCACACATAAAGACAGTGACAGGGAAGGAACCGTGTACCCCCCTCTACCCCCCCCCACACACAGTGACAGAGAAGGAACCATGTACCCTGCCATACACACACATATAGTGACAGGGAAGGAACTTGTCCCCCCCCCCACACACACACACATAGTGACAGGGAAGGAACTGTGTACTCCCCCCCACACACACAGTGACAGGGAAGAAACTGTGTACCACACACACACATACACACACACACATAGTGACAGGGAAGGAACTGTGTAGTCCCCCCCACACACAATGACAGGGAAGAAACTGTGTACCACACACACACACACACATAGTGACAGGGAAGGAACATGTACTTCACACACACACACATACACACGTAGTGACAAGAAAGGAACCGTGACCCCCCCCCACACACACAGTGATAGGGAAGGAACCATGTACCTCCCCCCCACACATACAGTGACAGGGAAGGAATTGTGTACCACATATACAGTGACAGGGAAGAAACCATGTACACACACACACACACACACAGACACACACACAGTGAGAGGGAAGGAATCATGTACTCCACACACACACACACACACACACAGTGACAGGTAAGAAATTGTGTACCCCCTCCACACACACACACAGTGACAGAGAAGGAACTGTGTAACACACATACACATTCATATAAACACACACAACAGGAAAGGAACCATGTACCCCCCAACACACACACATAGTGATAGGAAAGGAACTGTGTAACACATACCCAGTGACAGGGAAGGAAACATAACACACACACAGTGACAGGGAAAGAACCATGTAACACACACACACATACACACAGAGTGACAGGGATGGAACCCTGTCCCCTCCCATCCCCTACCCCCCCCAACTCCCTGCAGCAGAAGCAGCAGCGCCAGCCACTGGACTACAGCATCTCCATCCAGAACACACACCTCCCCTCTTCCCCTGGCCCACAGCACCCAGGGCCCAGCTGTGGCCCAGCAGTCAGCCCCCACATCCCCCGCCCTGCTGCTCTCGGTGACGAGGCCCTGCACCAAGCTCAGCCACCCAACGTGCCAGGAAGCCAGAGCACCCAGGCAGTTGTCAGAGGGGCAGGGAACCGGGCAGCTGCGACCAGGGCTTGGGCAGCCCCAGAGCTCAGGGAGCTGGACCTGCTCAAGGAAGAGGGGGGAACATCAACCCTGATAAAAGCGAATCCCAAAGGGACATTCTGAGGTGAAAAGAAGGTTCCGGAATAAGACGGGGCTGCTGCACGGGAATCTCCTATAAGAGACTGAAACAACCAGCCCGCACGCTTTCCAGGAGGGGCAAACGGCATCTCGATTTTCAAAGGGGGCGTTTCTAAATATTCTGAACAGCACGACAACAAGAATAAACAACATCTAAGTTAAAGCAGCATTCTGAGGAAAGCATAAGCTTTCCACGTTTTCCTTGAAAAGGAGCTAAAGCCGCGAGCGTGAGGCGCTAGAGACTAAATTCCCACGGCAATTCCGATGCCGAAGAGCAGAAATCAACACAACGGAAAACAAGGCAACGGGGGAAAATCAGAGCCAAAGGCAAGTTCTTTGAAAAGATCCATCCCATTGTCCAGCCACTAACAAGCCCACAACAATGGAAAGAAAATTAAACACTGAGGGTCAGAGAGCTCGGAAACGGGTTCCCACCGTGGATCCTCCTGTCACTTAGAAAGCAGCAAGAAAACGCCTCCCACCAACTTAGACCAACACAGCCAGTAACTCAGATGAACAGACAAATGTCTTGAAAGACACAATTCAGGGGCCAGGGACGTGGTCTCCAGGGGCTAAGGCACTTAGGAACAGGGCAAGTGGATAAAGCCCATGCAGAGAGCTGCCGGACCCCGAGTTCAATCCCAGGCACTGCCGGGACCCCCGGGGAACCCGGCTGCAGTGGCCGGAGGCGGCTTCTGGCCCTACCCAACACAATTGCATGTGTGGCCCTGTGAGATGCAGGAGTGTCAGCCTGACCCTGACAGCGACAGAAAAAGGGGGCTCAGAGCAGACCCTAAATCTAAACACGGGCCCAAAGTATAGAGGGCGTCAGAGGAGGCCCAGGGGGTGGTGTCTGTGACCGGGGGAGGGACGCGCTTTTCCCAGGACACAGCACAGAGCAACAGGGAAAACACAGATGCGCCCCCAACTCAGAACAGTTGCTCTTCGAGAGGGACCCCCAGGAAGACAACACTCATGCACTGTGCCCCCCGCCCAGATATGCCAGGAGTGGCACCAAGCCACACAGACAGAAGCAAAGGAAGGGAGGCTGGAGCGATAGCACAGTGGGGAGGGCGTTTGCCTTGCACGCGGCCGACCCGGGTTCGATTCCCAGCATCCCATATGGTCCCCCAAGCACCACCAGGAGTGACTCCTGAGTGCAGAGCCAGGAGTAACCCCTGTGCATCACCGGGTGTGACCCAAAAAGCAAAAATAAAAAGAGAAGCAAAGGAAGAACAAACATCTGCATTTGGTTCAGAGTGGCACTCGGGGCAACACCAGGAGCCCACGTGACAAGCTATGAAACGGCCAGGATGGCCGGCTGTCTGGCGTGGCGCTGGGCACCTCTCGCCCCGTGGCCACTGGCGGGTCCTCACCTCTTGCCACCGGGCACCGGCGCTGCTGGAGATGTACACGTTGGTCTTGCTGGCCAGGCTCTTCCCCACTGAACCTAAGACACGGCGGGAGAACAGCGTTGCGCTGTGACCTCAAGTCACCGCCAGCCAGAGACTGGGGGTGGCGCATGAGCCCGGGACTGACCGGTGGCGATGATGAGGCCGGGCGCGGACTCCTTGGACAGGATGGGCATCCTGCGGAGCTGCAGGTTCAGCAGCTGGCTGAGACGCTGGGCCAGGTGCAGGGAGCAGCCTTGGGCGAGCTGCGGACAAAGACCCGGGCAGTTCAGCACATGGGATGCCCCCCAAGGTGGGGTGAGGCCACAGTGGTGAGGCGCCCTGGTGGGGACCGCAGCCTCCAGGAACCAGTTCCAGCCCCAAGAGCACCAGCTCCCAGAGCCTCTCGTGGAAGGGAGACCAGAGGCAATCCCCTCCTGAGGTGATCCCCCCAGAAATAACTGCACAGAAATAAAGCAGTGATGGGGCCGGAGCGATAGTACAGTGGGGAGGGCGTCTGCCTTGCACGCAGGTGACCCGGGTTTGATCCCCAGCATCCCCTGAGTGTCCCCCAAGCACCACCGGGAGTAATTCCTGAGTGCAGAGCCAGGAGTAACGCCTGAGCATTGCAGGGTGAGACCCAAAAAGAAAAAAAAAAAACAACAACAAAGGAGAAATAAAACAGTCATAATCCTGCGTCACCTCCAGGGACACCATGGGTAGGGGGCTTTCCTGGGGCTTCTCGGAGCCGACGAGAAACAAATGGACCTCTTGGGCCTGTTTGGAAAGACCCCAAGGGGAGTCACAGAATCTGGTGAGAAGGAAATCAAGAATCAGGAGGCAGGGGATGGAGCAATAGCACAGCGGGTAGGGCGTTTGCCTTGCACGTGGCCGACCCGGGTTTGATTCCCCGCATCCCATATGGTCCCCTGAGCATCTCCAGGAGTAATTCCTGAGTGCATGAGCCAGGAGTGACCCCTGTGCATCGCCTGGTGTGACCCAAAAAGAAAAAAAGAAAAAAGAATCAGGAGGCAGACAGCTTTGCTGGTGAAAACAGGGACGCACAGAGACGCCTGTTCCAGGTCTCGGGAGTCCCGGAGGGAGGGACAAGACCCCCAGTCACTCAACCCCCTCCCTCCCTCAGTCCACACTGCCGCCGTTCTGGAACCGAGCCTGCGGCCCTGAGAGCGGGGAGGGAACAACGCTGCCCACCGTCCACGGCCCCCCCGGGCCGGCCCAGCATGGCCGCGGCAGCCGTACCTCACAGTCGATCTTCTCCCCGTAGCCCGTGAAGGCCGGAGCCCGCAGGAACTCCCAGGTGCCCCCTTTGTCGAAGGTGATGACGGACCTCATGTTCTCCTCGTTCATGGAGCCGTTGATGAGGGTGGCGATGTAGACCCCCTGCAGCCCCTCCACCCGGTGGAAGTCGGCAAACGGCTCGTTGGCGAAGTACCTGAGGTTCGGGGGCGCGAACAGACCCTGAGCTGAGGTGGGCGGGTTTTCTGTGTACCAGAAAATGCGACTTTTTTTTTTCTTGGTTGGAGTCAGTCGGTTGAGGCTACTCCCAGCAGTGCTCGGGGCTGGCTCCTGGCACAGTGCTCAGGGGTCAGGCCCGTCCATAGGTGGTGCCGGAGATGGAAGCCCCGTGGGCTGCGTGCAAGGCTCGCCTCTCCCTCCAGCCAACAACCCCGTTTCACCCCCGTTATTCTCCTCAGGCTGGAGCTGCTGATTCCCAAGCTTCCCGCGAGCCTGGCCTGGGCCTGGCCCCAGCCCACCCCAGCCACCCCCATGGCCCCTGGCCATCCTTCCGGTCATCCTGGGCCTGGCCCCAGCCCACCCCGGCCTCCCCCCGTGGCCCCCTGGCCAGCCTTTCCGGTCACCCTGGGCCTGGCCCCAGCCCACCCCAGCCACCCCCATGGCCCCTGGCCAGCCCTTCCGGTCATCCTGGGCCTGGCCCCAGCACACCCCGGCCTCCCCCTGTGGCCCCCTGGCCAGCCCTTCTGGTCACCCTGGGTCTGGCCCCAGCCCACCCCGGCCTCCCCCATGGCCCCCTGGCCGGCCTTCCGGTCACCCTGGGCCTGGCCCCAGCCCACCCCGGTCTCCCCCATGGACCCCTGGCCGGCCCTTCTGGTCACAGCTTGCTCCCCTCTGGGCCCCTCTCTTCCCGTCTCCTTCCCCAGTCTCCTCCCTCCGGGTGGTCCCCCCTGGGAGCAGAGGGCAAGAAGCAGGGGGTGGCGGGGGCCCCCTACCTGACCAGGGTGTCGCTCCCTGCCCCGCCGGGGCTGTAGTAGAGCACGTTCTCCAGGGACAGGGAGAAGCGCAGCCCCTCGGCCTCGGAGATGTACAGGTTGGTGCGGTTGTTGCTGTGGCTGACGCACACGAACACTTGGTCCTCCGATGCGTCGGCGATGTAATACTCCTGCGGGCCCCAGAGGCCGGGCGACGGCCGCCCCGTCAGGACCCACGGGAACCCCCAGCATCCCTCAGCCCCCCTCCGAGGCTGCCCCACAGTGGGTGAGGGGGAACATGCCTAGTGTTCTAGTGCTACGGACCCTAATGCTGATCTCCTTCCCTCCCAGCACTGCCTCCCACCCCCCCAACCCCCCAACCCATCCAAGCCCAGAGAGAGGAAAGCACACAGGGGCACGGGGCAGGCAGCGCCCCCTGGTGGCCACCAGCTGCCATGCCAGGCTCACACCCGCCCTCCACCACATCCCTCCTGGAGGATGCAGCTGTGTCTTCAATGCCACGGTCAGTGACCTGGTCACAGGTCGGGACCGCCTGCCCCGGCCTGCCTGTCCACCCGCCCAGGCTCTCCCTCCTGCCTGTTTCTAGACGGTGAGACATCGTAGCACCTGCAGCCTCCTGGGACCCTTGAGCCGGCGCTGGGGCCCCTCACCTCCTGCTCCTTACTACAGGCACCCTGGCCAGTCTCTCTGTCCAGCCCTTCCACAGGGAGCCCAGGGATGCTCCCGGGCAGTTCTGCGCCCAGCAGTGAGGACGGGAGGTGAACCCGGACGGAGCACAGAGGGGCCCTCCAGACACCAGTCCCCGACCCCGGCACTCACAGTAATAGGATGTCTGGTGACAAACTGGGCCGCCCGCATGGGCTTCCGGCCAAAGGAGACCCAGAGCTGGACAGAAGACTGCTGCTCGCTGCCCAGAAGGTTCTGCTGAGAGGGGAGAGAAGTCAACAGCAGTGCCCAGTTGATGCCACCCAACACAAGCCCGCGGGCAGCAGGGCGGCCACAGCCTCAGAGGCCCCAGGAAGGAGAGGGTGTGGCAAAGGCCCCCGCACGCGGCGTCCGCCTTCACTGGCTTCTCCGGGGTAGGGCCTGCAAGACCCTGAAGCCTTCAGTGGGCGTCACGCTATGTCAGCGGAGACGGACTAGGTCTGATGGGAAAGGCCGGGCCGGGGAGGGAAGGGAGGAGGCAGGACACCGGCAGGAGACGAGCAGTAAGGGGTGAGGCCAGAGCGCTGGGTCCGGGGGAGATGGAAGCCAGAGACCCCCACACACCCGTGCAAACAAAATATCTTGGGGTTACAGGGATCGTCAAATTTGCACTGATAGTTGGTGATATTTTTATCCATTCTCTTTTCTACACGATATACTGCTTATGTAGGTCTTTTGCAACAATATGTTTTCTGGGGCCGGAGAGATAGTACAGGGGTCATGGTGCTTGCCTTGGATGAACTCAAGCTGGGTTCAATCCCCAGGTACCCCATAGGGTCCCTGAGCCCTGCCGGGAGATCCTTGAGCACTGCTGTGTGTGGTCCAAAAGCAAAATATAGAGAGAATATATTTTTCTGGGGCCCCGGTGTATGGTGTAATTCAGGGGTAGAGATTTTGCCTTGCATCTGAGAGGCCCTGGATTCCCCAGCATCGCCAAAAAACCAGTCATGGGTTAGAGTGATAGGACGGTAGGTAAGGCATTTGCCTTGCACGAGGCCCACCCAGGTTCTATCCCCGGCAACCTATACAGTGCCCCAAGCACCACTTGGAGTGATGCCTGAGTGTGGAGCAAGGAGTCACCCCTGAGCATCCCCAGGAGTGGCCTAACCCCCCAAAAAAATTATAGCAATATTAACAATAATATTGGTAGAGCCTGGAGCCCGAGATGCAGCGCACATCACACTGCATCTTACAGAGAGGAAACCTCAGCTGAAATCGCTGAGGGTCCTATGAAAGTACCCGGTGAAGTCCCTTATATTTACGGCAAGTTGATATTCACAAGGTGTCAGGGGTTCACAAGGAACAAAGTCTTTTCAACAAGTGCTCCCTACACCACCGAGTAACTGTGAGTGAAGGAATGAAGCCAGATGTCTGCCTCACAGCAGAGTCCAACCATAATCGCAAATGAAGCCGTGAGCCTGATTCTCAGAGCTCAGGAGTAAATCTCTCTGGCTTCTTGGCATCACTAACGAAGGGGAAAATGAGATAAATTGGACTTGATCAAAATGTTAAGGCTTCTGGGTTGAACCGGACACCATCCAGGAAGCAAAAAGACAAGCCCTAACATTAGAGAGAGGCCTGGCCATGTATTAAACATGAAAAGACAGTCCAGCTAAAACTGGCCCAGAAAAGTGAACAGACCCTGGTTTGATCCCCAGCATCCCATAGGGTCCCCGGAGGCGACCAGGAGTGATCCCTGAGCACAGAGCCAGGAGCTCTGAGCATTGCTGAGTGTGGCCATCCGAAACCAAAAAAAAAAAAAAATAGAACCATGGTGAGACATCACTTCTCGACAAACGTTAACTGTACCCGAACCCAAGGCTGGTGGAAATGACACAGACTGGTTTCCCAGTGGCAACACCACCCCCAGGGGGCGCTGGAGAGCAAGAGGGGCAATTGTGGTCTTGTACAACTGGGGGGTGTTGTGTGCTCCCCGAGAGACGGCGGATCTCACTGCTGGATCGCAGCACTTGAGCCGGGTAAGCCCTCTTAGCGCCTGCGACTCACCACGGCTGTGGTGGCGAACAGGTACTTGTCACGGATCTGGAAGTCTCTCACTTCCTCCAGGACCACCTCCAGGTTCTCGCGGGACTGGAAGAAGTCGGAGCTCCGGAACACGGTGGAGTAGCCCGAGGGCTCATGCCGTTCAATGTAGATGGTGTTGGGCTTGTCATAGGGATCAATGCCCCTGCGGGGGGCGGGGACAGCAGATATTATTCCCACAATTCCCCACTGGGGACACGGAGTCCCGCTCACGCGGCCACCCAATGGGAACAAAACCTCCAATAACACCCTCAGGTTTTCCCACCTGTCCCCGGGCTTTGTGGGTCACACCCGGCGATGCTCAGGGGTTGCTCCTGGCTCTGCGCTCAGGCAGCACTCCTGGCAGTGCTCAGGAAGGGATGCCGGGGGTCTAACCCACATCGGCACGTGCAAGACAAATGCCCTCCCCGCTGCACTATGGCCCTAGTACCAAGAATCGCCGTTTGTGTCTGATGTTGTGACCCTTGTTTTCAAAGACCCTGGGGCAAACGGGGTTGGCTTAAGAGAAGGGAAAGGAAAACGCAGCCAGCAGTACCCAGCATGGTTCCCGGCTCGAGTCTGAGGGGTCCATGGGGAGGACCTGCCACGTGCTGCCACGTTTCTGTGGCAGCCGAGCGCTGGCCTTTCTGTCTCTCCCAGGCTGTCGTCTCCAACCAGCCCCCGTGGATCCATCTGACCGACCCACAAATTCCATCTCTCACAAATGCTTTCCTGCAAACACGCGGGCGGCTGCTCGCTCCCCTCTGTCCTTGCCTGGGCCAGGAGCCCAACTGCAAGGCCAGCGGCCCCTCACCCTGGATCTCCAATGCAAGGTCCCCCAGCCCGGACCCACCCCCGAGACACTCCACAGGCTTCTCCGCCACACTCAGCTCCAGGCCTCTTCTCCCTCTCTCCCCAAGTTTCAAACACCGTGGGCGGAGTGGACCGGGGCTCTGGCGCACTCTAGTATCCTGTTCTCCCAGACTGCGCTGGGTTGAGCTGCCTCAAGAGAGGAAAGATGCCCTGGATGGCGGCATCTTGCCTGTCTGTCTTTCCGTCTTGTCTATCTGGCAGGGTTCCACGCTGATTGGCGCCCTCTTGCTTGGGCCCTGTGGATGCTATTACAAAGGCTTTATGGCACGGAAAGCCGTTGACAGACAGGGGCAAAGAACCTCGGGGTGAGACTCGGTGGAGGTGATCCCCCAGACCACAGCTGGGTTTCCTAACACAAAAACCGGGGACAAGGCAGCCCAGCCAGCAGGCAAAAACCGTGACAGGCAGCACCAGAGAAAGGGCAGCAGAGCCAGGGGGCAGGGATGTCCCCAGGGCAGATCAGTCCCCCTCTCCTGCACTAACAGACTCTCCGTTCCTGCAGAGACAGCTTCTTTGGAGAACTAATCCCCACCAGAGCAAACAGAAAGTGAGAGAGAAAAGAGAGCCGGAGCGATAGTACAGCGGGGAGGGCACTTGCCTTTCATGCAGTCTGCCCAGGTTCAATCCCCGGCATCCCACATGGTCCCTCAAGCCCCGCCAGGCGTGATCCCTGAGCGTAGAGCCCCGAACACCACCAGGAGTGGCCCTCCAAAAAACACCCCCCACCAGGTGATTGCAAACAACGTGTTTTCTGAACTGTGCGCTGGGGGCAAGAGTAGAGAAGGGTGGGGTGGGGGCTGAGAGGAGCCCGTGAAGTCACCAGCAGTGGGGCGAGGAGACGAGGTGGTGGGTGCAGCAGAAGCAGAACTCACCAAGAGAAAGACTTGACGTGCTCCTGGATCATGACCCATGTCTGGCCGAAGTCATCCGACTTCCAGAGCTGCAAGAGCCCAAAAGGAAGAGACATGCTCGTGAGCGTACACCCAGGTGGACAGACCCACCGGCACCAATGACGGGTCGTGAAGGAGGCCAGCCCCAAGAGCAGAGCGGCTGGGCCAGCTGGGTGCCCCCGAGGGTTTGCCAGCTGGGTCCATCCCTGACACCCGTTCAGTTCTGTGTCGATGTTTGAGGGGCAACCCCACAGCTCAGCCACGGAGGCAGAGGAGAAAACATGGGGTGGGACTCCCACTCGCCTGCTTGTTGGGGTGGGACCTGTCGTAGCCCAGGAGCAGGTTGGAGGCTTTGCTGTGTAGCAGCAGGTCGGCGGCCCGGAAGGGGATGGAGAAGCCTTGGATGGTGCGGCAGAAGTCAAACGTCACCCAGAGGTACTGCGCATACGCGTCGGCAAAGATGTACTGCAGGAGAGAAAGAAGGGGGCTGCTGAGAGCCAGGGCTGGCCGGGGCGCGGCCCCCGGGGCCACAAGCACAGACAGAGGGTTCTGGGGTGTGAAAGGGCAGACACACACAAATACACACAGACACACACACACCAGCAATGCCAAGAGGCTCATACTAAGACATACATCTCACAAACACACACACACACACACACACACACCAGCAATGCCTAGAGGCTCATAGGAACACATACACACACACACACACACACACACACACACACACACACACCCCAGCAATGCCAAGAGGTTCATACTAAGACATACATCTCACAACCACACACACACACACACACACACACACCCCAGCAATGCCAAGAGGCTCATACTAAGACATACATTTCACAACCACACACACACACATACACACACACACACCAGCAATGCCTAGAGGCTCATACAAACACATACACCACACACACACACACACACACACACACACACACACACACCAGTAACAGCCAAAGACTAGTTTATCCTTCCACTGGGCTCCAACTGGTACTTCTAGGAACAAGCACTTGAGGGATGACTCCGGGACCAGGAGCCATCTGCCTGGCAAGTGTTGGCTGCAAGTCCGATGCCCGGTGTGTTCCCTGGGCCTGGTCCCAGCCACTCTGCCGTCTGGGGTCCAGTGTCATGCTCCGCAGCTGGGCGCGTGCACACGGCACCACTATGTGCCCGAGCGGCCACCCGCCCCCACCCAGAGCTCTGTGGCTGATCACTGCTAGAGCTGATTCTGGGGCTGATCCAGCCCCCCCAGGGAGCAGCGGGCCTGAGTGTGGAGCCCCATAGCACGTGGGCCTCACCATCTCATCCTCATCTTCGGCCGAGCACTTTCCGGGGTTTCTCGTTCGCTAGAATCCTGGCTTCCTGCCTTCTCAGATCCTGGGGGCTCAAGGCCTCTCCCTTGGCCCCTCCCCCATGCTCCCCGCCCCTGCGGAACGCAAAGCTACCAAGTCACCTCTGAAGTTAGACCCCCAGAAGCTCCCTCTCCGCACGCCAGTCCCCCAGTAGGGTCCCCCCTTCACACTCTGGCCCCACCCCACTGTGCTTCCTTCTGGGCTGGACGCTGCTGGGTAGGTACATCACACCCCTCCCAAAGGCGGCAGGGCCTGGGGCCAACAGAGCTGACCTGCACGGTGCTTGCACGGTGCTTCTGCAGAACCAGAGGGCTGAGGGCACTTCAGTGAGCTTCACAGGCAATAGGCCCAGTTTCAATAGCACAGGGTACCCAGAGCCCAGCAGGGAGAGTCCTCCAAGCACTGTGCCAAGGGGAGCCCCCGAGTACCACTGAGTAACACACACACACACACACACACACACACACACACACACGCGTGCGCGCGCGCGCGCGCGCGCGCGTGCTTTCAAGTGCATTCTGGAATATTCCATCTCCCCAGCAATCTTTGCAAGCGCTTCTGTCCCAGAGGCCCTTCCTCTCAGGGCTGAAAGCGGTGTCTGGGGAAATAAAATCTGGGCCCTGAGGCCAACTGCGTGCAGAGGAAAACAGCCCTTTCCACCTCTTCATTTGCATCACCAGCCCCAGGTAACATGTCACAGTTCAAGTGCATTATTTTTCAGCTCAGCCAAGAAGTGGGAAATTCACTTAGGGCTCAAATGCCCTCGGGCCAGAGAGATAGTACAATGCTCAGGCACTTGCCAAGCCTGCAAAACAAGCCTTTGAATCTCTGCCCGGCAGGCCAAAACCAAACCAAACACCCAAAACTGTCTCCCAACTCTTACTTCCAGATTTTGCCTCCTAACTCTTACTTCCAGATTTTGGGTTAGAACCCAGAACAGGGAGAAGAAAGACCGGGGTCTGTCTGCTTCTAACCCAGGAACCTCCAAAAATGAAAGTTCTCATCTTTTCACTAAACAGCCTGATTTTTTACTTTATTGGATCTTTTATCCCCATGGAGGGGGGGCGGGGGGCATCTATGAGTGATCAGGACTTACTCCCGGCTCTGTACTCTGGGATCACTCGTGGCAACGCTTGGGGGAGCCCTTTGGGGTGCGGGAGATCAAACCCGGGTCAGCCATGTGCAGGGCGAGAGCCCTCCCTGCTGCCAGGTCAGAGAAGCTGCCCAAGGGGCCGCACGGCATCATCGTAGCCCTATGCGCTATGAGCCTTGATAAGGGGTAAGCAGGGTACACAGATCTCCCCTCAGAAGCTGCTGCTCCCAGAAACCCTCCAGGAGGATGGGCCCCAACGAGCCCTCAAACTCCCACCCCTCTGGTCTCAAGTCCAGAGCCAACCTCTCGGCTGAGTTTCCAGCTGGGAAAACAAGCCAGGAGGCTCAGCAGCCGCTGAAGTCTGGCTTTTCTTCCGTGGACGCATACGTCTTGTGCACACGTGATGCACACACACAAGCCACACACAGGCCAGCACACACGCATGCTCACACCAGCACACCCATGTGCACACACAAGACAACACGCATGCCAGCATACACAAACGCACATATATCCACACACGCACATGCACACACCAGCACACGTGTGCACACACACACTCATGTACACACGCATGCGCGTGGGCCGGCACTTGTGTTCACACACCAGCGTACACGGGTGCACACACAGCCCAGCACACAAGCACATGCACACAGGACAGCACACACGAATGCACACACACATCAGCCTACACATGCAAACATCAGCACATGCACTTGCAAACACACCAGCACACACGTGCTCACACAGACCAGCACACGCACCAGCTGGCTGCTAAACTGAATGATCAGGGTCTGCTGGAAGAGTTGATGGACCCTGTGTTGGTCCCATGGGGCCGGGTGAGGGAGTTTGCCACCTGGGGCATTTGAAAGCAGCAGGTGTACTTAAGTCTGGGGGACCATCAGGGGTGCCGGGATCAAACCAAGCCGGCCATGAGGAAGGCACCCGCCCTGCCCACTGCGCTCTGGCCCCGACCTTCGACCTTCAGCTGCCCACGGCCTCACTCTCGTGCCCGCAGAGAACAGAGCCATCACCAAGCCCCCCATTGCAGGGCTCAGCCACCAGACTCCAAGAGACTCAGAGCTTCCGGGGTCCCGGGCACCCCATCCCCACATGTCCCCCCAAGCCCTCTCACACGCCGGTTGTCCGCGGGGCTGTGGTAGAACTGGGCAATGACGGCCTCGCTGCTGTTGCCTGGACCAAAGTTCAGCTTCTCCGAGATCTTCCCGAAGGACCTTCCGTAGTCATACGACACGTACACCTGCAGGGACACGCAGGTAAGTGTGCGTCCACCCCTCACCCCCAGGGGCAGGAGGGGACACAGGCCGAGCAGTCCCGGGGGCAGGAGCGGAAGAGTGTGGACGCACTGGGAGAAGGCAGGAATGTCCCCGGGTCACCTGAGTCTCGTTCTGTTCTCACATCCCAGAGGAAGGCAGGGACCCTCGTGGGACTTCCAGGAGCAGCCCAGAGGGGAGCCTGGGGTCCAGCGATGGGCAGTGGTGAGGGTCCCCGCGGGGGTGAGAGGGCAGAGCCCCCCCCACCCCTCCCTCCTCCCACCCTCGCCAAGTGGCCCCGGGGAACCCTGCTTTTGGGAAGGGCAGGTAGGGCACGGCTCCCTTCCCTCCTGCCCCAGGAAGCACACGCGTGCACAGGGGCACACGCCAGCACCATGCAGGCAGACACACTCAGACTCAGGGCTGGTTCCCTGCCGAGAGACAGACATGCCGTAGGGCCCCGGGGACCACACACACACCTGGCTCCCTACCCAGCCGGAACACTTTGTTTTTCTGCCCCATCAGCCTCCCTGACCTCACCGTGACACCGACTCCCTCCCTGCAAAGAACATGAGGGGGCTGGGGGGCAGGGGGGTGGTACTGAGCCTCGAGAGCCGCTTCCTGGATCATGGTCTTAACCGATAAAGAGGCCTGAGACCGGTACAGCTCTAAAGCCTGTCCCCAAGGCTCCAAAACCACAGTGGGGTGAGGAGGGGGGGAGGGAGAGAGCAGGAGGGGAGGTGGAGAGGTAGAGGGGAGGGGAAGAAGAGAGAGAGAAGAGGACAAGAGGACGAGGGAGAGGAGGAGGAGGGAGGGGAGGATGGGGAGGAAGGAGAGGAGGAGGGGGAGGACGTGGAAGACTCATCCCGCATGTGACCTGCTGTGCGCCCATCCCCCACACTCGATGACTCACCTACAGGTCACCCTGCAGGACACTTGGCGAGGGCAGACTCTGCAGGTCTCAGGGGCTCCCCCACCCAGAGAATGGGGCTCCCAGCTCACGGCCGGCCAGTGGCAGGGCCCGGCTCAAACTGCCCCCAGAGATGCAGAATGGACACAGCCAGGCATTCTGGTGCCAGAGCCCGAGCTCACTCCGAGCCCCCGTCAGGAGCCCAGGGCTGCTCCGCAGACATCCCCAGCTGTGTCCCCAGCCCCATACCTGTCTAGTGGCTGGACCTGCCTGGGGCGCCTCTGCAGGCCCCTCTGACCCCGGGATGCCCCCAGGTAGGTGAGAGCAGTCGGGAGGGGGGGGTGCCTGTCACCTCCGCGAGAGAGAGAGAGAGAGAGAGAGAGAGAGAGAGAGAGAGAGAGAGAGAGAGAGAGAGAGGTGGCAGGAGCTGATTGTGAGGGCCAGGCCAGCAGGATACTTTTGTGTGTGTGGTTCTGCCTGTGAGTGCGAGCCTGCTGGGGCCGCTGCTTCCACACCGGGCCCCTTTCCATCCCTGGTCCCCAGCGCTCAGCTCCTACGGCTCCCCTACGAGCCGTTCCTTCCTCTCGTCCCTTCCCTGCTCGGTCCTTGCCACTCCAGCCACCCCTCCCGCCTCTGAGTCATCCTTCATTTCCCATCATAACAGCTCAGGGTTCATCGTCAATTCCTTCCCAAGCGCAGCCAGACAGGCCAGCTCAGGCCCCGAGGGATGATCCCCGGGCCCCAACTGTCTTCATTTCAGTGCTGATCTTCCTTCCCAGGCCCGCCTCTCACTGCCAGCGTCCACCAGTTTGTTCCTGAGATGCTCCCCCACTGTCCCTCAGTTCTGAGTGACCGACCATCCCAGATGGCCCCAGAATGGGGGTGCAGAGCGGTCCTGGCGTGGGGGACGGTCACACTGAACCCCGGCCTCCTAGCTTCTCTCAGACACAAGCATCAGTCACCAGGTTCAAATTAAACCCAGGTGACCCCGTGAGCTCTACCCCGAGCCAAGACACCACGTCCCACAGGGCCGCCCGCTCCGAGAAAGAGGGGAGAGATTGTGTTGTGCGCAGAGTGCATGTGTGTGCATGGGTACATGGTGTGTGCTCGTGTGTGCTGACGGTCGCATGCGTGTGTACGCATGCATGTGTGCTCGTGCGTACGCATGTGGCATGTTCGTGTGTTCTTTTGTGTGCGTGCATGTGGTTTTATGTGTATACATGTGTTTGTGCGCACGTGTGCTCCTGTGCACATGCATGTGTGCTCGTGTGTACATGCACATGTACTCATGTGTTCATGTGTGTGCTTCTCTGTACGTTCACGTGTACATTTGTGCTCAAGTGCGCTTGTGTGTGCACATGGATTGAGTTACACATACACGTGTTTGTGCATATGTGGAGTAAGTCTGATGTGTGCGAATCCACACGTGTCTTGCCAGCTGAGAGTGCTGTGAGCCGGGAGGCACGTCTGTCACCACCACGGGTGACCCAGCAATGCTGCCCCCATCGGACCTCAGTGAAGAAACATCATGAAAATCCCCCCGTGGGAACAAAGTCCAGAAAATCCAATTCAACCACCCAGGTCTGCCGGGCAGCCTGGGGCGGGCAAGGAGCCCCTGTCGGGCTCAGCCAAGGGCACCCTGCCAGCGTTCTGTGGGGCAGACATAGGAGCGGGAGCCCACCCCGCCCCCACTCCTGGGACCACATGCCTGTGTCCAGTCAGAGAGGGGAGAGACCATGGCAGGGGCGGGGCGGGGAGGTCCTCTTCTCTACTGGATCATGCTCCCCACCTGCTCCCCAGGACCCCATATTTTCTCTGGCATGAAAGTCCCCACAGCTGAGAAAAGGGCGATAGAGTCACCGCAGATACTTACGTCGCTGCTCTTGGGCCGCGCCAAGGCCAGACTGTCCCGGGCCAAGGCCACGATGACGTTGCTCTTCTCCCCGGCCCAGTGGACCACCATCTGGTTGTGGGAGTCATTCAGGCTCACCTGGAAGAGACGGGCAGGGCTGAGGGCGCGGGTCGCAGCCGCTCTCCCCCTCCTCAATCAAGGCTCTCTGCTCGGGATCAGGGTGTGGGGGGTGAGCGCCCCATCCCTGCCACAGAACGTCCCACCACCTCTGGTTCTCTGGAGCGAACGTTCAACCACTGCAGCCGGAAACGCGGCACAAGCAAAGCCTCTGGGGTCCCATCAGCGCCGGACGCTGTGGGGAAGCGGGTCAGGCCACACTGCCCTCAGAGGCTGCAGACTCCACGGAGGGCGCTCAGCCACACTCGGGGAGAACCTCTCCTGGCAGGGATGCGGGGGCCACACCGCCCAGGACCCCCAACAGACCCTCAGGGCACTTCAACCCCCCAACACTTGGGCAGGACAGACTGAGGATGAAGAAGAGTTAGAGCAGAAGGCTTGCAACGCCCTCCCCGGCACGCCCAAAGCCAAGCACGGGGGCTCAGAAAAAGCCCCTCACCTCCCCCTCCCTGCCGCGCCCTACCCCAGCTCCCCACGGGCTCCTCAAGAAAGGAGGGGGGCTCCCCTGGCGGCTGAGGACAAGGCGGGGAGCGCTCGCTGCTGCTCCGCCCCCACACCTGCGTCTCATTACACGCGAGCCCCAAACTCAGAACGCACTTGAAAGGAAGCGCCCTGTAAAGCACCCCGGTCTCTCATCTTGCTTCTGGTTTTCGTGGGTCTTGGTTTAGGAACCACACCCAGCAGTGCTCAGGGCTCACTCCTAATAGGGTCTGGAGGACCCTTTGGGGTACCAGGTTTCGAACCCAGGTCAGCCGCATACAAGGCAAGCGCCCTGCCCACTTACTATCTCTCCAGACCCCTTTTTGCTTTTGTTTATTGTGGGTTTTTTTTGGAGGAGCGGGGGGCGGGGGAGGATGCCCACGCCTGATGGTGCTCTGGGATGACTCCTGGCTTGTCCAGGGGTGCTGGATATCGAACCTGGGTCAGCCGCATGCCAGGCAAGCATCCTACCCACCGTACTATCACTCCAGCCCCTGCTTTTGTTTGTTTGTTGAGGTTTTGGGGCCACACCTGGCGATGCTCAGGGGTTACTCCTGGCTCTGTGCTCAGGGAGCATTCCTTGGGGAAGGGTTCTGGGGACTATACAAGGTGTCGGGATTAAACCCCGTCAGCTACGTGCAAGGCAAGTGTCCTACCCGCTGTCCTATTGCTCTGGCCCCTGCTTTTGCTAACACTGTAGCACTGTCCTCCTGTTGTTCATCGATTTGCTCGAGCGGGCCCAGTAATGTCTCCGTTGTAAGACTTGTTGTTACTGTGCTTGGCATATCAAATACGTCACGGGTAGCTTGCCAGGCTTTGCCGTGCGGGCCACATACTCTCGGTAGCTTGCTGGGCTCTCCGAGAGGGGCGGAGGAATCGAACTCAGGTCGGCCAAGTTGGCCGTGTGCAAGGCAAACACCCTACCGCTGTGCTATAGCTCCAGCCCCACCATTTCTAAATGCCCCTCTTTCCCGGCGAGACAGGAACAGAGCCAGCAAGCCAGAGTGGAAGTAGCAAAGGGCCTCCCCTTACTCCATCCAGCCTGGGCCTGGGGGTACCGGGGACAGCCAGGGGCCACTAGCACAAGTGCCCCAGGAATCCCCACTAGAACTCACCCCTCCTCCCAGACCACCCCTCAAAAAAAATAAAAAGACCTGAAGCCAGAGCAATAGCACAGTGGGTAGGGCATTTGCCTCACACAGGGCTGACCCGGGTTCAATCCCTGGCACCCCACATGGTCCCCCCGAGCCCTCCAGGGGTGATCCCTGAGTGCAGAGCCGGGAGTAAACCATGAACACCATCGGGTGTGGCCCCCTAAGGGAAAAACCAACCCCCCCCCAAAGAAAGACAGGCCAGACCCAAAGATCAGGCCGTCCTGACACGCAGAGAACTGAGTTCTCCGGGCAGCCCCGGCCCCAGCCTCTTTGGGGACCCACACAGCAGGACAAATAAGGCAGCCTGCTTCCTCTCTCGGCCGCGCTGGCAGCGAAATACAAAGAAGCATTTTTAAAACTCTGCCATGAAGTTTAAAACAAATATTCTGTCCTTCAAGTGCAGGGACGGGGGTGACCGCTAAATCCCCGGGTGTCACGACCGGCCTGTGGAAAACCAAGACAGATGCCCAGGTCCAAGAATAACAAGGTTCCCCCAAAACATCCGCGTGCAGGAACCCACACACACTCACACTCGGCATTAGGTCACCCTGCGGGCCGTTTCCTGCCCTCGGGTACTCGAAGAAAGATCGCTGTCCCTGGGCGCTCCCCGGGGTGGGGGAGGAGGGGCTGCGGGGAGGAGGAGAAATGTCGACGATCCCTGCGGGGGGCGGGGGTGGGCGGGGGGGGCCAGGACCATCCTACAGCGGGGAGGGCACTTGCCTTGCAGCTGATCTGGATTCATTCCCCAGCACCCTATGGGGTCCCCCCCCAGCACCACTAGGGATGATCCCTGAGCACCAGCAGGTGTGACCTCCAACCCCCTAAAAAAGATAAATAGAAAGAAATAAGCCCCCCACTGGGGGCTGGAGAGATAGCACAGTGGGTAGGGCGTTTGCCTTGCACGTGGCCGAACCGGGTTCAATTCCCAGCATCCCATATGGTCCCCTGCGCACCGCCAGGAGTAACTCCTGAGTGCAGAGCCAGGAGTAACCCCTGAGCAACGCCAGGTGTGACCCAAAAAGCAAAAAAAAAAAAGAAAGAAAGAAAGAAAGAAAGAAAGAAGCCCCCCTGCTCTGAACTTGTTCAACTCGGACTTCTCCTGAAGCTCAAGAGGCTGCAGCCACAGAACCCGGCCAGGACTCGGCAACACACTCCCACCTGCCCATTTCACAGAACAGAACACAGAGGGAATGTGACCCGGGGACGGAAAGGGGCGCGTTTCACACACTTTTTCTCTTCACCACGAGGGTGACGACATCCTCCTTCCCCTGGCTAACGCCAGCTTGTGTCAGCTCGCACCCTCAGCTTCCCTTTTGGTGGGTCCCGGCAACTCCAACGCACCCCTCCCCGGGGGGGCACCCCGGGTTGTCGTGGAGCAGACTGCAGGCCTGGCTGTTCCAGGAGCTCCCTGGGGGAATGTCATCACCCGACTCTGCTGGTTGGAGGGTAAGAGGCAGAAGGGACAGCGGGAAGAGGAGGGACCGCAGGCCCGCTGAACCCATGCCCGCGTCCTGCAAGGAGGCAGAGCCCCGAGGGAGACTCAGACATGGCGTCCAGTGCGGTCAAGCCAGGGCGGGGGCCGGGGCCGCGTGCAGGCAGAACACACTAAGGTGGACCGGCCACAGCACAGCCAAGCCAGGACGGTGAGGTCCTGGGGAGGGTCTCAGGCTAGCCCATTTCAAGGTCCCGGTCTGTGGCTCTGCCGGGTCATGAGGAACAGCGCCCCCTCTCGGCCTTCTAATGAACAACATGAGCACTTAGGGCAGCACAATGCCAGGTGTGTGTGGGGGGGGGGGGCTGCGGTGGGGGAGGAGAAAGAGCAGCCCCCTAGAGATCTGAGGTCCTGGCATCATCTTTCTTTAGGGGTGGGTGGGGTGGAGGAGGAGGTCCCTAAGTGGGGCTTAGGAAGCCTGTGGGCTCCACTAGTGACTCGCAGCCAACCAGGCCAGTGGGTAGCTCCATGCAGGGACCCCAGGAGGTGGCACTATTGCAGCCCAGGCCTTTCGGGCACCTCCGGGCTATGAGAGGGGGAAGGAGTGGAGCCCAGGTCAGGTGTGTGCTGAGCATGCCCTGACCACTGCACTGTCTCCCAACAGGGATCCACGAATTCCACCAAGAGAAGCTAAACGACCAGCTCATGGGGTGGGGAGTAAACCCACAGAGGCAAAATTAGGGGAAAGGGATGGGATTAGGAGGGACTAGGGGGAAGGGATGCAGGAGGGTCAGATAGGGCCAGGGGACAGAAGGGGCTTGGGGCTAGTCCCACTGGAATAAGTCGGAAAAGTAGAGGTGGCCCGGGGAGACTGCAGCATGGGGGGAGGGAGAGGGGACCACCATGCCTGGCACTGCATAATGCCTTTGGCGTGCCGGTGGGTGCCCTGACGGCCACTGGGAAAGCTCCCGCCAAGCGTTCCGTGTAGCCTGGGAAACCAACTTGAGAACAGAAGTAGCTGTTACTACTAAGCCTTACTGAAGACACAGCCGGGTAACATGTATGTTCTATGTTCTCTGTATGTTCTGTGTATTCTGTGTCGTGCTCTTGCCGTAGACCCAGCTAAACAAAACACTAAAGGGAAGAGATGAAACCGTTTCATTCCACCGGGATGTCTGTCTCCATCGTACCTGACACTGAAAACGGCACCTGCTTATTTATTTGATGTTGTTTGTGGGGGCCCTTGCATGTGGCTGGCACCGGGTGGATGCTCAGCACTGCATTTAGTCCCCCAAGTGCAGCCAGGAGTGATCAAGTCCAGCACCAAGCTGGAACTGAACCTTGAGCATAGCCGGATGTGACACAAAAGTAAAAATGAAACAGAAAAAAAACCCTAAGAGTAACAGCACACTCTTATTCTATGCCAACGACTCATTGGTAATGTAAATTAACGGTAGATTTTGGAAATTTATACATCTTCAACTTTCAATAGCACTATGGGTAGGGCTTTTGCCTTGCATGCTGCCGATCTGAGTTCGATTCCTCCACCCCTCTCGGAGAGCCCGGCAAGCTACTGGGAGTATCTCGCCCGCATGGCAAAGCCTGGCAAGCTACCCGTGATATATTCGATATGTCAAAAACACTAACAAGTTCTCATAATTTGTTGTGAGACATTAGTGGTGCCCGCTCGAGCAAATCGATGAACAACGGGAAGGCAGTGCTACAGTCTGTGGGGGGCACACCCAGAGTGCTCAGGGCTGATTAGGGATCACACTTGGCAGGACTCAGGGGACGCTATGGGGTGCCAGGGACCAAACGCACCTGGGCCAAGGGCAAGGCAACAGCCCTCCCCGCAGTAATATCTTTCCAGCACCCAAAGGGCGTCTGTTTACAAG